GTTTTTGCAAAGACGATATTGAAATTGAATTGAAGATTCTTGGCCAAAGGCTGGATCATTTCTATCGAACCTTTCAAAGCTTTACAAGTTAATATTTATTAGTACCAGACACAATTTTAGGTTTTATTTTCAAGTTGAATAACAAATTTTCGTTTCTGTAATTATTGTAAACCTTTTTCGAGTGTTCTGTTTAATCATTATTCCCGTTATTGCTGAGATTTTTAAAAAAGGTAGAAATAAAAATAAAGTTAAAAAGTGGTTAAAATTATTACATAGCATTTTTAATGCTTTCATAATACTTAAAGTATATGTACATTTACCAATATTATAAAGTGAAATGTATACAGTCTAAAAAAGTTTCCGAAAGTACTTGACCGATATGAAAAATACTTTTAATGTTAAGTGCTTTCCCCGGTGAACATAGACTTTCTTTTTTTTTAATGGGACAAGCCCGCCGCAACCTCCCAAAACCGCTGCAACCCCTGTAAACTAGGATCTACAGTAGATACAACCAAGAAAACACCAGACAACTGAAGTTCGGCGCGTCCCAAGGACATGAATGACTGTCTAGGATCCCGCAACGAAATAAATCAGAAGATATTATTTGAGGAGAATAAAAAACGAACATAGACTACTTATCTATGCTTATACATAGTCAATAATATATATAAACGAGGCACAGCTAGTGTATACATATGTTGAGTAGGTTCCCGTGTAAGCCGGTGTTACTCAAAACTTGTTACAAACTTTAAATTGCTTCTCAACCAACACTTATCAGTTTTCCATGTAAAGTTTTACTTGTAGTAACACTATAACTATTTTGTCAAGGATCGTGTAAATTGAATTTGTGCTTATAAATTGGGATACAATTATGATCCTATATCTCCTTAACCACGCTTAAAATAGAAATAATATCCAGGTAGAAAATAACCTTTCTTTATTAAAATACCATCCCCAATAAGAGAATTAGCTCCATGTCGTGGGTGCTTTTACAAATACATTTGTGTGGTTCTTTCCTCAAAAGACCACTAAAGAATGAACTTGCACGTTTCTCTCACATTATGTTATTTTTATATTGTCTGGACTTGAAAAGAGACTGACCTCTGAGTTTGTTTCGTAATTTTTTTTCAGAGTAGTCAGATAGGAAATCCCGGCTTCATCTAGATTTTCTCATATAAATTGACGTGTGAACGTGCCGTTTTATGGCCTATTTGCAAAAATAAACTCATTGTTTCATGGAACATTTTAGTGACGTAAGCATGTCAAGAATTATTATCATAACATACAAATCATATGGGGCCTGCCTTCTATAAGACTTGACTATAAAAAATATTTATTAGCTTGCAACTGTCCCATTGCTGTGTAAAATTATTCCTTACACGGCAAACCACAAGCGTAAATCCCCACTTTCGTTCAAGGTCGAATGTCAAGGTTATGTCACTATGTCAATAATAAACGAAAATCAATAAATTTGACTACAGATTTTACTTAGAATTAGAATGTCAGTTTTCTTATTAAACGCCTGTTTTTTATGGTATAAGTCGACAAACAAGCAGATGGCTTACCTGATGGTAAGCAATCAGCGCCGCCCGTGAATACCGGCAACACCAAAGGAGTTATGAGTGCGTTGCCAGCCGGATAATAGTTTCGGCTATTTAAGGATCAGAAAGATCGGGCCTCCGGTAACCTCACTCACACGGCGAAATACTACGCTGTGGTTGTTTCACGTCGGTTTTCTTTGAGGTCGTAGTATCACTCCGGTCGAGCCGATCCATTCGTGCCGAAGCTTGGCTCTCCCACACTTAAACTACGGAAGCAAATTATATAAAAGCTTAGAAGAAAGAATATTATTTGGAATCCTCATTCAAAGAACTTCTACATTAAAGTAAAACTGTCCAAGCACTTCTCTAAGATGTCTGCATAAAACTGCCTTTTTCCGTCCTGAAGATCGCTTTTCTTCCAGACTGCTTAGTCGAAGAGTCTTTAAGACCATTTCCTACAGTCTAGACTTTTAGTATTAAATGCCTAGCTCAGAACGTAGCCTAGAAAACCTATTGTTATATGTTGAGACACTTAAAACAGTATAATATTTTCAAGAGCCTGTGTCAAGTTATTTCATAATGAAGGCTCCAGAATGTTGTACTTAGAGTGCTGGGTTTTATGACTGATCGTGTTTTCATTGCTTGTTATGGAAGATAATTTGATATTTATACTACTGTAATTTTCTTTGGAAACATTGTTGGTCTTGTTTGTGTGAGGTTGGGGTAAGTCTTCCAGTATAGTGGGCTGCAGCTTAGGCACTCGCTTCTCAAGCACGATCGCATCGATCACTTCTCATGCATGTAGGGGAGTGCGGATTATAAATCTGGTAAATATGTGTCATTTTCCGAGTTTTATGAATGAAAATTTCTAATTTCATTCAAATCGCAATCAATTAAATAATTTGAGAGGCCCTTTAATCAATTATGGGTGCTTTATAAACCGATTCAGTATTAATCTGTGTAACTGAAACAACTATTTTAATACTAACCTAATACTAAACTTTAAAAAAAACAAAAACATCAATACCACACATAATACCGAAAATCATTATCGTCCATATTGACCAGCCATTTGGCCATCAAAAATTATTATATCGTCAACCCAAACCGGCCTCCGATAACGTAATATATAAAATCATTATTTCTGTATATCGGCAGATATTTCCCGGAATTTTCAATAAACGCATACCGTGGCCTTACAATAGCTAGCGCCATATTGTTTTTGCAACGTGTCCCAGCCGAACCTTTGATCAGACGAAATTAAAATCTATTGACCTATCGGACAACAGGCTTTTATACTAAAACCTACCTACGTTTATTGAAGTTAGGATTCAATTTTCTTTGGTCTTGTTTTAATCTGCAGTATTTTTGACGGTGAATTTTTTTGATCAGAAATGTTTAAGAAAGTATATACCCCACTCATGATCGATATTAACTTGAAAAGCACTACGGGGGAAATAATTAGCGACATCCTTGAATTAAACGTTGAGCATCCGAGCGTGTAATCTAGTTGACCAACTGTAGGTAAACTCTGTCTCGTGAGACGTAAAGTTTGAAATGCGTTGGTGATGTGTTTGAGTTATTAGGGCAGGCAGGTTGAGGTCATTGATTAGGTCGGAGTGCCGGATGCAGGCTGTTAGGTAGCCATTTAGGTCACCTTGTTAGGTTTTCCTTAATAAAGTTATAAGTTAGAACTGTTTTGTATTCACCTCGATAGTATATATTTATGTTTTATGATACCATTAATACGTATAACGGATAAATATGAAGTAGTTCTCAGGGTGATTTAAAAAGGATTATTGTGAAAAATACTGGTCGAAAGGACGTATGCTTGAATATTCATCAATGGTTTGACACAAAACACTATATTTATGACACTCTTAATACCACAGGAGTCACTAAAAGTGCTTAGCCGGCCTTCTGTGGCTTATAAGGGTTTTAAAGGTAGGAAATCTGGGAATTGTGGACAGTGAGGAAAGATAGAGGCTCCAGTAACCTCATTCACACGCCGAAATACAACTCAAGCGTTGTTCCACGCCGGTATTCTGTGAGGTCGTCGTAACACTTAAGTCGAGCCGGCCCATTCACGCCAAAGCTTGGCTTTCTCACTGTTTCAAAAAACAAAACAAGACTATTCTGAAAACAGAGTATGGACTATTCAGTGCAACGTCAAATAAACTAAAAACTGAAACACGAATTCCTCTACAAACTTCTTGCATTAATATTATAATCCGTTCCATTCAAAACCTTAGACCCATTGATAATTCAGCAAGCTAACCCTGTGAACTCCAACGGCACATTTCCATAGTTCTAAATAGCATTTATACCGGAGCCAGCTTTTCATTGCGCTGCAATATTATGCTGTTCTACATGCCTAGTGAATACAGGGATTTAGCTTAAATCCTCGTGAATATAAATGTTAATAGGGTCTATTGTACCCTAGAACGCGTTAACGGGTTATATCTCTTTGTTATTCACAATAAATGGTCCACATTTTTGCTGTTAATAATTTTATGAAATAATTTTGCGTTGTAATTTTTTATTTTGTTGACTACGTATTTTAGTTTGAAATGAATTTTAATAATGTGGATTTTAAACACAATGAAAAGGTTTTTGAATGTGTAGAGCTTTTGATGTAGTATGAAATTTACATATTTATGTAGTCAGTTAGTTATGAACTAAGTTGTATTAGTTTGTGGTAGTAGTGTTTATAACTATGCGAATATAACTACAGTTTTTTAAACGTAACAATAAAAAAAACTAGACCCTCCTTAAATAATTATAAAATTAGAAGATGCATATAATTCCTGTCAAGGGAATTATCAAACCGCTCACTTATAAAAGTCCTTTACTATTATTATTTCTACCTATTACTATTAGCCGTCACAAATTGTAATTAATAAAAAAGAAACTATATAAAGTTCAAAATATACGAATCCAATCCGCATTGAGCAAGCGTGGTGATTAATGCTCTAACCTTTTCCGTATGAGAAGAGGCCTTTGCTCAGCAGTGGGCACTTATAGGCTGATGATGACGATGATGATGAGTCTAATACTGCCCCACCTAGAACCAGAGAAGCTACTAATGATTCTTCTCATTAATCACTTTGTAAACCATTGAGAAAACTAAATTTTCTGCATATACTGTAACTATGTATGTCTTATACTTAAACCTAGAACTACTATTCAGTTTAATACGGCTCAACTTGAAGTGTCCGTCTGTTTAATTAAGTTTCAGTACTTTCAGTTAGAACTACTGAACATTTCTTTTCAAGAATGTCCAAAATGAGAGTTGGTTCGTTTCAGAATGTAATTAATGGGAATTTCTGTAATGAAACTAGTTTATGTATAGATAAGAGTACTGAGTCTGAAGAAAAAAATCATTTTGTGATACCTACACAAATAAAAGATAATAAGTCTTACAAATAAGTTTCTAACCCACATTTCTTTTGCCCACAGCATACCTGGACCCATACGTGGTACCAGCCAGCCTGGACCAGCTCCTGGTGTCGAGCGACGTGGTGGGCAACATCAGGTTTAGCCACCCGACGCTCTACGTATTCCCAGGAGGACAAGGAGACGCCGCACTTTTCGGCATCAATGGATTTAATATGTTAGGTAAGTAATTCATGTTGAAACAGGTATTCGTGAACTGTATAACGAGAGACTGGAAATAGTATAAAGATGAAAGAGTTGGTTTTATTGTACTTTACAAAAGGGTTTCTTAGGGAAACATAATTAAGGAGACCTTTCGGATAGGTGGAGTGGCGATGATCATAATATGGATGGTAGTGATTGAATGAGTATAGCTGAAAACCAAACTCAGTGACATGCTATTAGAGAGTTATGTCTAGCAGCGGAAGGAAATGAGCTGATGATATTGAAGACGTATTACTTAGGCATCCTTTGCCTGATTCAAAGTATTTTTTGCGTAGGTCCCAGGGTGCATCCCTGTGGCATTCCGAACATTTTATTAAGAACGCTATTGAGACTAGCAATATGCATTTAAACCATCATTTTAAACATTCATTTCTATTTATTTATCCAATCAATAATCTTTAATGTTCAGATGAACCGACTTCGTATTACGAACAATACAGAAGAATAATATAATTAGATTAGTAAAGTTAGAACCAATATGTACAGGTACAAGTATTTTCAACAATAGTCAAAAAAGAATGTAAATTACTCTTAAGTGAATTGGAACAAAGTAACTTCTTAACTTAGTTACGGAACAGCAGTACCTGTATAAATAGCGCAACGTAAGAAAACTTCTAGCAACGAAGCGTCTCGTTAATCTAATTGATAAATTCCGTTGCGAGTACCCAGAGGTTAATGTTGCCTTGGGGACTCAACCTTTACCAAAGAAAAATGGCGCTGAAATAAAAATAAGTTAGCTTCTCCCAAATGACTTACATCTAACTAAAGTTCTTAAAATATAATTCTTTCTTCCACATAGTCCATGCCCAAGGCTCAATGCGGATTTTTTCTGATGTTCGCTTTTCATTGGCGTGCGGCCAAAACACATCTTTAGGCTACATTGGCACGATTACTCCGTGTACTTTGTTCAACATTTTACAATTTAGTTTTACGAGTCCTTTGTTGTTTCGACTGCTTATGTTCTTACTTGAAATTGAAGTGGAATTTGTTGAAAGGAACTTTTGGGGTTTAGTGTTAGTTCCATGTAGCTCTAGTTACTTTAAGGTTAATATATGTACGTCTTCCATACGATTTTTTAAAAGATAAGAAATAACAAAGATAAGTCGTGCAAAAAAGCAGATTCAATCTGTAAAACTTAAGAACTTTTTAATTTTTGCCCTATAATTCCATCCAGGCGGGAAAAGCTTCAATTTCTTAGAAAAATCGTATAAAATTCCACAGCCAATTGACTTATAAAAGTCGAACCTTGACACAATCACAAAAGCCTGAGCACAGCCACTTAAAACTTGGTGTTGTGCCAAAGAAATATTGGCTGTCTCCGGGACGCCTTCGAGCGTCGGCTGATGGCTTGTCAAACCCACAATGTTATATTATTGTTCACTAAACAAGATTTGGATCGAAATGTCTGGAGTGTTTAGATAATTGTTTTTGTTTGTGATTGTTGTTGTTGGCAGTTATGAGTGGAGCGTCTAGATTCTCGGATTTGATAATAAATTGAGGTCGAATTTTGTACTCGTAATTTGTTTTTTTACAAGTTCTTGGCATAACACTTCTTTGTGAAATTTTGTTATTAGGATTATTCTTTTCAATAAATCAGTTTTGTAATGATTTCATGTTGCTGTTAGTGCAAAATGAAAAATCACAAAACAAAGGAACAAGAAATTATCAACTAAACAATGACGCTTTTAGATTAGTGTTTCACTAGTGAGTGGCATACATAGGTACAGTAGGAAACCTAGATTTAGCAGGTGACACCTAGGCAAAAGTAAATAAAGTGCTCACTGCCCTACAAACAGCGGTTTCCATTAAGCCACCGCACACGTCAAGCGAAGAGCGTGCTATCGTGTTACTAAGTAAACACGCTCGAACGGACACCGGCCATGTCACGCTGCTAGCTATCTTGATGACGTCATTGTTTTCACGTCAGCACAAATGGAATTCTTTAATGTAATTGTGTAGGTCTATTTTTCAAATGAGTTTCTGTTATTGAATATGAATATTTGGTTGAAATACAAAGTAGATGCAGTTTACTCGCTTTTTGTATGTATGTCGAAGTCAGCTAGCTCTTTCGATTTCGATTTCTAGGCGGTTCACAGTTTTCATGATAATCCACTATTCACCTTTCAACTTACAACCTGAATGAGAAATTTTGGCATTCCATCAAACGACTGCTCATTCAGACTGTGTATGTGATATGAACAAATTATCAGTTGAAATCTGGATTTTGGCAATATTATCCATGTTCTCATTAACTTCAATAAGTGTCATTAGACCAGAGCCTTTGACTGTAAAAGTGTTGAGGACATTCTATTATTACGCATTCGAGCTCTTTATTCTATTATATTCCTCACGCCCAATGTCACGTCTAACCAGTGAAACACCGTCATGTTGAACAAACAGGCACGAAACGTGACCCGAACACGCTCATGAAGATTTACCTGCATAGTTATGTATGTATGTAACATTGAAATATTGGAATTTTGTCTTTTCATGCGGAAATAGGAATAGGATCGGGTCATATTTAACATTTTTTTTATGATTTTTCATTATCGCAGCTTGCGTTGGTTTATTAAAAATGGATTTTGGGTTTAGGCACTCTTTAGTAGCACTCCGAAATATTATAGTAAGTTGTCAATCGATTGGCTATTGGCTCATTTCAAACATAGTTCTTTGACCTACACGGTGTGATAAAATGGCCGCTTGATATTCTGTTCGTCTATATTTTTAAAGATAAATATATCTATATATTTTTAACTATCCGAATCAAATAGTGACGCCGTCAAAGATAGCTATAGTCATTAAAACGGAACCAACCAACAAACCTGTCGAAAGATTTCGAGATTCGTAACAGAAATCGAATCTTCATCAAACCAAAAAATACAGATTCAGTTACTAAAAGTCAATCCCTGGATTAACCTCCCCCATGCACCTAGACAACTGTCAGACCTAGTTTTCTAGAAAATTTCCTGAATAACAGGAAGGACTGTAACAAACAACATTTCCCATTAAGCCTTTTGTGTCACGCTTCACGCTATGGTTGACGTGTCACGTTGTGTTCCTAAGTAAACCCACACATGTACACACTCACACCGACGGATATGTCACGCTGTTAACTGTCTATGTTGTTTTACTATTGTTTTAATGAGGTGTTGTTGCTTTGTTATTTGGAGTAGCAGTGGAATATAATTACTAAGGGCTTTAAAATATTGAATAGTGTGTTGAATGAGAAGTTGTTTTGCTTGAAGATGAATGAATTAGGGGATAGTCAGGTACCTTCCTGTCTTTGTCTTTGTAAAATATTAACTGGCACTTTATTCATCAAACTCCATGTGTTAGCAAGGGCAATAGGTATTATTATTATATTCTTATTCTTCTTCTAATGTGTCTCAAATGATCATGATTCAAGGTTGAACCGAATATTTGCGAATTATACGCAAAAAAGAAATGTGTGAAAACACGTGACCCTGACGCGAGATTCGAAGTTTACCCATACAAAAAGTGCTCAGCGCCGCTAAAGAAGTTTTCACTTCAATAACTTGTTGGTTATAATTTTATTGAACCCTAGCGCTTCCAGTACGACGGTAAAACGCAGCCTGTGTGTTCTTTCAGACAATAATCATCTCTATGCCAAAGTACATTAAGGTGCGTTTAGTTCTTTTCACGTGAAAAAATATTTCATCAATTGATGTTCATCATTATTTGTAAAACATCCGTACTTACATACTTTTGCGTTTTTAATATTAATAGGAGTACGGAAAAGACAGACAATGTTTTAGTTAGCTAGCGGTATTACTTGTAATATCCTTAGAATTATAATAAAGGCACGTACTTTAATAATCTTTCAGAAATTTACTTAGTTTTCTTTGTGAATTAAGAGTAACTATAACGTTAAAGTTTGAGACAAATCGTTAATATAATTTACTAGCTTCCGCACGTCGTGTAGCTTTGTTTTCGTGATATGTTAATAAAAAGGAGTATATTCGTTAATCCGTGGCGTCTATGGCACCTATATACACACCACATTTTAACCAAATCGGTCCATCCGTTTTTGTGTGAAAGAATTACAACATACTTTCATACATTCTCACAAAGTTTCACATTAATAATATTAGTAGGATATAGAACAATTTATACCCTATACATATAGTATTAATATTACATGTATCTACTATATGAAAATTAAATTCTCAAAGCAAACTGTCAATTTAATTTTTTCCCGCCATGTGTAAACAAGATGGCGGACGGTTGGTTGTAAGCGTCCATTCTATGTTCAAACAAGAATGCACATCGCCATTCCCGCTCCAATTTATTTTTCAATCAAGAGTCGATCGAACGATTTTGTCGTGTTTGAGTTGCTCTCTGTCAATATTTAGTCTGTTGGTATCTTATAGGTATTAAATTAGTTCGATGGATCATTCGCTTAGATCTTAAGTAAAGGTTGAACTGAAATAACATTGGATCAAATTATTTTTGCTCATTTTGTCGTGTTGTTTGATTGATTCTTTGGTTAGTGTAATGTGTAAGATTCTCGAATGGGCAGTGGATATGTGGATGGTGATTGGATGCTCTAAATATATTTTATCTTTTTATGTGATAGGTCGGCAAACGAGCTTAGGGAGTACCTGATGGTGAGCAATCAGCACCGCCCTTAGATACCTGCTAAAACAGAGGAGTTACGAGTGCGTTGCTGACCTTTTAGGGATTAGGAAAAGGGAGGGGGAGAGGTTTGGGCCTCTGATCACCTAGGTCATAGAGCGAAACACAACGATGTGGTTGTTTAAACGTAGTATCTCAAAAGAACGTATCTTGGTTTCACAGACCTTTAGTTGGTCAGAGTACTCCTAGAGCTGAGTCACGCGGTCAGTCTCACCAACAGTCTCCCGAGAATTTTGAACTCATCTTTTTCTAAAATTAAGGATTTTCTTTTTTTCTTTTTGCAATTATTGAATAAATTATGATTTGTTAGTTTCACAAACACACAGATACAAGCATCCATTCACAATCATATTCAAACAACAATTAAAACAGCAATCAGCTACCCCTGACGGCCACAACGGAAATTAAAAAGCATAAAATGGCCAGTGTTCGAGCTCCATTAACGTCCATCAGTTGCCAGACTCATCAAACTGACACCCAATTAAAATCCCGACATTTAATTCTTTATTTAAAAGTTGCATTCTCATTGGCAAATATCGTTCTGGCTGAACATATTTAACTTCTTTATAAATATAAAACAATGGCCTATCATTATCATCGAAAACAATTAATTATAAATGAAAAATCCTTGTTTTATTATTTACTAGCTACTCACGCGGTTTCACTCGCTGCTCGGCTCTATTTAATCGTAGCGTGATGTTTTATAGCCTATAGCACTCAGGAACATTTAGCTATCCAGCGGTTCCAAAGATTACCCCCATCATACAAACTTACAAATACCTCTTTATAATATTAGTATAGATTGTATGGACATAGATATAGATAAACGCGAAACTAAATTTGTAAGTTTGTATGTACTCTTTAAATAGCTTCACTTAGAGGACTGATCGACAGACGCACACTTTTTATCTTTAAGCATTGTTTGACGTTCAAAATTGCCTGTAAGGGTTTAATTCAAATAAATGATTTTGAATTTGATTTTGACGTTAAAACTCCTGAACGGATCTGAATGAAATTTAGCACAGAGATAGGTTATAGTTTAACACAACACACTGGCTACTATTAATCTGGTACTGCAAGCAAAGCCGATGATAGAAGCTAGTTTGCAAATAAATAAACAGGCCTGACTGTATTCTTTGGTCGACTTCTGTAACTCCTATCCAAATAGGGATTTGCCTTAATCTCAACGAATGGCTGACGAGTTGGAGATTACAGTATAATAAGATCAGCGTTGGTCCAATATTTAAATGTTCTTACACAAAAAATACCCAGGTGAAGAAAAGGGGTGGTAAAAATAACTCTACAACGCTTTCATTAAACGACATTAAGTATGAAACAATGGCCGCATAGATTTGTTTACAGTTATCATTTGAAATTAGAATTCCGCTTCAACGAACATTTGCGAATGTTTGCATCATATTGCGTTTTAGCTAACGTGTTTGTTTAAACGTTTAGTTAGCGAGCCGGTAATGTATGCTTAACCAAACTGCAATTTGCATGTTGATTTGAGTATGAAAGGGGATCGAGTATATTATTGTGTGATTGGATTAAATTGGTGACCGTTTGGAGTTTTGGTAACTAGTTGAATTAAGTGTTAATTGGACGTTAATAACTAATTAATTTGTTTTGTATACAATAAATGATAGCGGCTTAATATACATAGTACGGAATACTTTATAACAATATTTTTTTCAAAGAAATTTAGCTCTTATTGACGTTCATTAATCAACGTGGAACTTGGAAAATCAAGTTGTCAAGTTAGTTTTACATTGTGTTGAAGGCTCCGGTTCAACCGAAGTAATACCAAGGCCTCATAGAAAACGGGCGTGAAACAACCACAGCGCTGTATTTCGCCGTATGAGTGAGAGAGCCCATCCTCCCATTTACAATCCCCAAAACTACTACTAAATACAATTGTATGTGGCATGAAAATAGTCGGGTATGTCGTCAACTTTTTTTGTGATAGGACGGCCAGCGAAACTACTTACTTACTGGGTGATAAGCAAAAGCTATCAGCGCTACCCATGGACACCCGCCACCACTTAGAAGTTCCGAGTCTATTGCCGATCTTTTAAGAATTAGGGTTTTGGAGATCTAGGGATTGGAGGAGAGGAAGGGTTGGGCCTTGCTCACCTTGAGAAAAACAACGCTGTGGTTTTCTGTGAGGCCGTTAACAGTAAAAATAATAAGTAATTAAGTTTTTAATTCTAAGTTTATTGATCGACAATAATCAAAATACCTACCTGTACGTTTCAGTGGATGGAGGCTTCTCCAGAAAGGCTTGCTGGTGGGATTTCGCCCGTCACTTGGACCGTCTCGACGCAGTCCTCTTCACGAGGCTCAACAACTGCTCCGTTTCCGGCATGGCGTCAGTCCTGCGTCGGAAGGCAGGAGCCACAGTCTACCCCCAGATTGGACACTTCTTCTGTAACTTAGAAGTAAGTATTCTGACATAACCCTTTTTCTGTCAGTGGAAATTTAACAAATGACTTCTCATGCCTAGGGTGAGGCGAGAGGAAGTCTTAAACTCTTACTTAAAACTCCTCCGTTCCTTCTCCTGCTCTAGGCCCAGGGCCCAGGCTTCGGTGCCTCATTGCGCTCGCCCAGCAATGTGACATAACCATGAACAAATATTATAGCTCTCCTCTAAATAAAGTAGAGGTGTATTTAAATGTAATTTAATTTAATATGAACCTTATGATATGAGAATTGGAATGTCCTGTCTCAGAATTTTCCAGTAATTGTAAAAGTAACCCATCTTGCATTGCTCGGGATCTAACCCGAAATGATAGTTTTTTTTTTAAATAACGTTGCCCCACATTTGTATTTCCCCTGTGTCGTGGTTGCGTTTCACATACAATTACGCATACACATGACACCGAGACCCGAACATCAATGCGTGTATCACATGCAAAACCGTGCAGTCATAATTATAATTAATATGTGATAGATGATCCTAATACACTGGATAAATCAGAAATAAATAGGAAATGTTCCATCCTTATCTTACCTTACGCAGCGCTCTCCTACTAACCATGTACGAAGGTATTCAAGCAATGGGGACAGGGTTCCTGGCGCCAACTAGTCGCCCTTACAAGGCCGTCACCTGACACTCCAAAGTCACACTTCAATAGCCATACTGCTTACTGGATTGGAGACTAACAATCTATTAGACTTGTTAATGTATCGAACAAAATGTACATTGTTCTATTAAAGATATTCCTGTAAGTTTGTTATAGTTAAATTGATACTTCTGTCTAATTTTTATCAGCACTACATAGTATAAAAGAAAGTTATTTTCTTTGACCCTTTTTTAGCCCCATACTAAGATTTTCTCATGTGCAGTGGGTGCGTTTATAAACATATAATTTCTCATACACATCACACACAGACCCGGAACAACAGTTTGTAGATCACATAAAGAGATGTTCTGTGCGGACATCAAACCTGCGACACATTGCGCGGCAGTCAGTTGCTTAGCCACCGCGCCAACCGTGCAGTTACATAGTCCCAATAACTCTATGTCTTCTTAATTCGATTAATATCGTTTTTAGGGTTCCGTAGCCAAAATGGCAAAAACGGAACCCTTATAGTTTCGTCATGTCCGTCTGTCCGTCTGTCCGTCTGTCCGTCTGTCCGTCTGTCACAGCCGATTTACTCGGAAACTATAAGTACTACAGTGATGAAATTTGATGGGAATATGTGTTGTATGAACCGCTACAAAATTATGACACTAAATAGTAAAAAAAAGAATTGGCGGTGGGGCCCCCCATACATGTAACTGAGGGATGAAAAATTTTTTTTCGATGTACATACCCGTGTGGTGTATCAATGGAAAGGTCTTTTAAAATGATATAAAGTTTTCTAAAAAACATTTTTCTTAAAGTGAACGGTTTTTGAGATATCAGCTCTCAAAGTCGTAAAAAGTATGTCCCCCCCCTCTATTTTTATAACTACGGGGTATAAAATTCTAAAAAAATAGAGGTGATGCATGCTAATTAACTCTTTCAACGATTTTTGGTTTGATCAAAGTATCTCTTATAGTTTTTGAGATAGGTTGATTTAACTGTAATTTTGGTTAAGTTATTGTGCTTACACTGAAAACGATGGCTGAACCTTATAAGATAGATCAAAAAATATACTACAGTATTGTACACCTTTAAAAATCCGCGATGATATAAAATCTTTATAATGTAGGTACTTTTTACGAGAAATATTAGCTTATTCAAGCAAAACGCCATTAATCCTTATCCAGTAATGTACCTTAAATACATTGTGCATTTGATAAAGTTTAATATTACAAATGTGATTGTTGAGTAATAATAGGTTAAACATATCCATCGAACCAATATTTTTAAAACGCGTTAATCCTATAGATTATTATTACATCGATTCAAGAAGATCGGTCGCTCGCTGCGCTGCAGCGCGTGAGTTGCGGGGCGTGGTCTCGCGCGGGACATAATAAGTTTATTATATTTGCTGCTACGGAACCCTTTGTGCGCGAGCCCGACTCGCACTTGGCCGGTTTTTTTTATTAATAGAGTGATTGAAGAATTATATAGTATTTATATGTATATTTGTATATTAACATCAATTAATTGTCAACTATTTTAGTCACGCTAATGAATGAAAAAAATGAAGTTATCAAACAATTAATTTCGAATTGTTCATTATAAATTACAAATGTCATGTTAAGTTTTCGAATTCGATTTTCATTTGTTTTACAAATACTCCAATTATTATTTCTATGTTGGTGTCTTGTTTCTATTAGAAAAAGAATTATGTTTTTACTCGGCGGGTAACTTGCAATAGGAAACTCTGTCGTTGCTGATTTGCATAGCTTGCAGTCACTGTAGTCACTGTAGTCACTTTAGTCACTATTCCGTCAGGCGAAATGGTAGCTTAATTGTACTTCAACAACACTTAATACTTACTTCAATAAGCACAATAATGGATCTGATACAGGTCTAGTTATGATTTTTATGTGAAATTCTATATTTGTAAACGCATCCACGACACAGGAGAAAAACCTAGATTAGGCAAAATTAAAAAAAAACTTACTTCTCGCATCCACCACTTCTCGCATCCCCCAGAGAGAGAGAGTAGTCTTTTGATGATTTTTCCCGTCCCAAAAAAAAAACGATACTCACTTGAGACTCTAATATTTTATTGTTTTGCTTATTTTAATTTAATTCTAATAAAACTTAGTACTTTGTAACGTCTATGGTACCCAATGACGCGTATAGTATCGACTTCCAATCAGTGTGTCTCGATAGTGTGCTATGCACGCCGCGTCGGTTCGTGCGTATATAAAAAAAAACTTTTACATTTTTCAAGTTTTAAGTGTTTTTTTTAATATTTTGTTTGTGATAAAGTTTTTAAATGATGTGACATTTAAGGGTATGTAATTACCTACACACTAATATTATATTTATTTCAGAAATTTTATTTATTGTTAGTGTAGTCAGAATAATTATATTAAATTATAATATTTTGTTTAAAAATATTTGATACCTCGTAGTTTACAATTGACTTCTAAATAACTCTTAAAATTAAAGATAAACTGCCTCGGCAGCCCGGTGACTCCCCGGCAAGGGTGTCTGGTTCGATTCCTGTGTCAACAAAGAGTAAAAGTACTATTCAGTATTTCCTTTTTCTCTTACCTGGCTTAAAACCAGAAGACTTAAAACGCAATATGTAACTGATATGTTTCACTTAACAATTATGCATGTCCTAATCCCCTGTTTATTCAATTATGTTATTTTGTGTAATTCTATTATAAAATAACACTTTTACCATCGCAAATGCAAGCGCAATTATGTATTGCCACCCCGGGGTGGATACTCTCTACCATGGGATTAAACGCCATTTGACGGAGGTCTTATTTGTTGATCCTGTGATCCATGGTCCTCTACGGGGTCACTTGGGGTGGCGGCCAGCTCGTGAACTGGTCGCGTTCCAGTTGGTCATGAATATTCCCGTTGTTCGTATATTTTCGTTAGTTCGACCCCAAAGGAGGCGGCGGGATCCAGAGACAAAGGCCCTCGCGCGCATCTTCAGTTTGTGCGCTGAAGCGAGTCGCCACGACATAACTCTTCTGCCACGCCAGATTGGTGTGGCAGAAGTAGTAAGCATCTGTTTCGGATTCTGACTGAGAAAATTACCGGGTGTTGTCTTTGCAAGGAGGACATGGACCCACATATTTGAGGCCATGGTGCGAGATGAGATGAACCGGGAAGCCAACTCCTTTTTATTTTCCTCAGACCCCAGCCACCGAAGTAGGCAATCGCGCTACCAGATCCAGATTCCAGAGTACGGTGCGCCTCGAAGAGACAACGTGGCTTGGGCCTGAAGTAGGAGATAAAAGGGGGTGGTTTTTAGTCAGTAAGATTCTGATAGTCCCCAGTAGGCGAAATTTGATCATTTATCCCAGCTAAGAGCAGGATTAGAAAAGGGGAGAGTATTAATTAGTTAGAGCCTAGAATTCCTTCTTGTCCGACCCAGGGACCTTCAATGATTTCTTTCCGCCAAAAAAATAACTATCTTTAATCCCTACATTAATAATTTTCAGGAACGGCGAGCTCTCACGAGCCCTGACGGAGACAAGGACGCGGATCCCCTGCTGGTGTCACTCCTGCAGGAGGGCTCCGACATGATGACTGACCTGCGCCACATTAACCTCAAACCACAACACTGCTATCGAAGCCCTGAGCCCATTAACCTGTACCACAAAGTTGGACATGGTGAGTCGGAACACATTTTTTTAAAGAAACCTTGCCCTACATTTCAATGTTTCCTTTATCGTGTAAGCATCTACAAACGTACGATTTCACTTACACGTCATACACAGTTCCGGAACAACAATTTGTGGATCACACAAAAAGTTGTTCCGTGCGGAAATTGAACCCGTGACACGTTGCGTTGCAACCATGACCAGCAACCGAGAAAACCGTCATGCCACGGTTTAGAAAAGGAAAAGGTCACATGTTAGAAAAAACTATACATCATTGATGAAAAATTATATATAAAAATTATTGTACATATATCTGTAATTTACAGCCCCATTTATTAATATTTATTAAAAACAGTTATTTTGTGTATATCACTGTATAACCTTGGCCTATTCTTTTTTCAGGTACCCTAGACATGTACGTACTGAATCCGTCCAAGGACTCTAAATACGTTCGTGAATTCTTAAAACGCTGGCACAACAGTGAACAAAAGTTATTTGAAGGAGCGAGTGTGTCCGGACAGTTCAACTTTCCCATACCTAACTTAGTTTCAATTTGCGCGTTACTAGTGTGGCGCCCAGCCAACCCTGACGACACAATCACGAGGATAATGTTCCCAGGATCGACACCACAACATAAAATATTTGAAGGCTTAGAAAAACTTAAACACTTAGAGTTTCTACAACACCCCACTTGCACAGGCAGGCAGATGACGCCTACCGCACCAGCTGTGACCGCTGCAGCAACTACAGTGACAACTACTAAAACCAGCGTTAAGGCTACAACTAAATCTAGTAAAGAAAGAAGCCTCATTACTGAAAAAACAAAAGAAGACAAAATTGTTGAACCCGAACCTCCTCCAAAAGATCTAAAAGAAGGTGAAACTAAGAATATAATAGACAATAAACTACTTAGTGAACTCGTAGAGGGGGAAGATAAAATGGACTCCGTCTTACACGAGGCCATAACCGCGAGAATAGAAACTAAACTAGATGATAAGATTGCTCAATACGAGAGCACTGTGATAGACGGTCTGCCTAAAAAAAAAGATGTGAAAAAGAAGGCTGTGGATAAAAAAACTAAACGCGTTGATAAGACTGATGAAGTTAAAGACTCTGTAGTAAAAGCTGAAGCTAAAAAAGTTGAAGCTGAATCGAAACCAAAAGTAGACAAGAAGTCAAAAGTTGACACACGCAAATCTGAAATAACGTCGTCAATTACACGTAGTAAAATTAGTCATCGCGCAACGCGGTCTGTTTCAGAGCGAAAAGCAACATCAAGTATAGAGAAAAAAGCAGGATCTGAAGATAAAAAGTCACCACCGACGACACCTAAAAAATTAACCGACACTAAATCGACTCCATCTGTACCAGTTTTAAAAGATAAAATTAAAGCCAAAACTAGAAGACTGAGTCCAGGCAGTACCCCAGCTAAGAGCACAAAAGAAGCGAAAAATCGTATGGTTGCCGAATCTAAATACAAACAAGCATCACCCAAACGAGATGCAACAACAAAAATATCTGAAAAGAAAGAAACTAAAGCTAAACGAGAACCCATATCGCGTCGGCCAAGACCATTATCATCACCGGTGAAAGGGTTGAAGGCTATGAAAAGCCCAACTAAATCCGTAAAATCAGTAAAAGGTGAAGCCTCAAAGTTGAAGGGCTTACAAAGAGTAAATTATGAAGATATTCTAAAAGACGCGAAAAAATCTGACGAAGACACATCAAAATCCCTCGATGATATTAAACAACAAGAATTAGATGAAAGAGAAGAACAAGAAATCGTTAGAGAAATTGAAGCTGTTTTTAACAGGGACAGTGAAGCTGAAGAGAAAACTGAATTTGTAGGACGATCAGATATTGAAAAAATTACATGTTTATTAGACGACACTAAGACTGAAACGACTGCCGACGGCGAATTTGAAGAAGAATATCTTATTATTGAAAAAGAAGAAGTTGAACAGTATACCGAAGACTCGGCTGTAGAACGACAGGATAGTCATGAGCATGAAGATGAATTACAGAAACATACAAAAGATAAAGAGGAATCTGAGAAAAAGAAAGATATTACCGTACTTGAAAAACCTGAAGAAACACAAGAAACACAAATCAAAACTGAAGCAGTTATTGAAACAGACACAAAGCAAATTGAATCTAAGGAACACTCGGTAAGCGTCGAAGAAAAACAAGACATAAGCAGTGAAAAGAAAACCTCTGATAGTAAGAGTATTCCTAAACCGAAAGATTCTCTTGAAATGCAGGTTCAAGAGTCTCAGCCGGATGAAAAAATTTCTACTACTATTGAATCAGGGGCAACCACTGCACCGACACTACCTGAAGATGAAAGAATAACACTTGATGATATTAAAGAGGATCAACAAGTTGAAGAAAAACACGTTCAAGAAGAGACTAAGGAAGTAATTCCTCCACAAAACTTAATCGACACAAAACCATTATCACTAGAAAAGAGCCCTAAACTTGAGTCTGTTCCAATCCCAATAAGAGAAGTTGTCAAGACTCCAGATGAAGTAGCCGACTTACCTTTGCACGAAGAAGTTGACTACAGAACTTACGTAGAAAAGAAAACACCAGAAGAAGAATTTGTAAAACGAAAAGCGGATGACGTCAAAGTTCCTAAAGATCTACCTCTTCTGGATCAGGAAGGTGGAGTAACTTTCAAAGGAATGAAAGCAGTTCAAGATGATGTTGTAATCAAAACTGTGCAACGAGCGTCCCATGCTGAACTTGTTACTGTCACACCTGGATCTGCTCCAGAGTCCCCAATGTACCAAGAACAAATGAAAGTGTCAGCAACTCCCGACAAAGACCTAAAACCAGTTAAAGAATATGATGATGACGAATACGACTACGGGCAATATACTGAAAAATTGAGAGAAACACACATTACTACTCTCGATTCTCCAATAAAAGATGATATTATTGTAATCGAAGAAATTCCATGTATGCCTGAAAAGATCCCTTCAATACCTGAGGACGTTGAAAAAGAAATCGAAGAGGCTCGTAAGCTAGAAATGCCTGACAAACCACCACTGAGTCCTAAAGAAGTAGAAAAAATCGTTGCTGACGTCGCTGAAGTACTTAAATCCGACAAAAGTTTAGAAGAAATCATGGCTGAGAAATCCCCTTTGCTTAGCAAGTCTCCGGAAGTTTTTCCGTTTATGCCAGCTACGGTTAGTGCTGTCGAAGCAACGAAAATGCTCTTAACTAGTGAACAAGCAAGCACACACGATTTGCAAGAAGAACATAAGGAATCAAAAACTCCTGAGGTTAAGCCTATGCACGATATGTCAGAAATTCAAAAAGAAGTGTCACCAGCCCGATCCATAACATCAGAGGACGTCAGTGAAACTTCAGATAAGACAGTGTTAAGTGAAAGTAAACGAGTCAAACGAGAACTTTTGGATGAAAAGATCATCGAAAAAGTAGATGATGTAGAAGAAAAAATGCAAAGAAAGATTAGTTCTGATGTAACTGACCATGTCGAGGATAAATTCACACTTAAGGATTTGGAAGAAAAACCCGATAAACAAGTAATTACAACACTAGAATCAGCGAAAACGTTAGAAAAACTGGAAGAAAAAATTGCTGATCTTAAGAGAAAAGAAGAGAAAATTTTAGAACAAAAAACTGAAGTTTCTGGAACTTTAGAAAAACCTACAAAAGACAAATCGCCTATAGAAGAAAAAGAAATCCCAAGGAAAACATTATTGCAAAAGGCTGAAACTAAAGTCGAAAAAGTTGCCGAAAAAGTGTCTGCATTCAAAGATGAAGTTTTCGGATTCTTTGGCAAGAAATCTGACAAAAAGGAGCCAAGCCCCGAAAAAGAAATACCTGAAAAAATTGTCGTAAAGGAAATTGAGTCGAACAAAGAATCAGTTTCCAAAACACCAAGCCCCACTGAAATAGAACCTTCAGAAAGTCTTTTCAAAGACGAGCAATTAGAACAAAAACCTGGAATATCGATATTCGAAGAAATGAAGGATATTGATGCTACTAAAACTGCCGAAATAGACCTAGATCTAAAAAGTCTCCAACACGAAGAAGAAGTTTCTAATGAAAAAAAGGTAAGTCCAGATTTACCTGATGATAAGCTCCCGGGCTTAATCTACGATGAAGATCAAGAATTAGACATTGAAGAAAGGTTAATTGGATTTGAACCCAGGGGTAAACCGGAAGAATTTACAACAGCACAAGTTGTAACAATCACTGAGAACGGTGTTGTAATCATAAGGAAATCCACAATAACAACTATTTTACAAGAATATAGTAATGTTACTCGTACGATTGTTAGGTACAAAACCACTGTTCTAACAATTGAAGAAGATGAACTTCCAGATGGCAAAAAAATAGGAAGGACATATAGAAAAGTATCTCTTTCTCATGAACGACCAAAACTTGGAACTACTGATGCAGAAGAAAAACCACCTAGCCCTATTAAGCTCGACAAAGAAAAGCTACAAGAAAAAATTTACGACAAGCTAAGTTCTCCTGATGACATCGGCGAAACGCTGCCAAGATCTGATTTAGGGAATGAAACTGTTTCGACGATTTTGAAACCAGACTTAATTTATAATGAAGATGAGGAATTAGAAATTGAAGAGCGTCTAATGGCCTTTGAACCTGTAGGAAAACCAGAAGAAGTAACTACTACACACATAACAACAATTACAGAAAAAGGTATCTTGATCAAAAGAAAATCAATTGTGACGACAGTACTACAAGAATACACAAATGTATCTAAAACAACATGTAGATATAAAACCACTGTTTTGACGATCGAAGAAGACGAGATGCCGAATGGTGCCAAATTAAGTCGTACTATCAGAAAAGTCTCCCTTGCTTATGAAAAACCAAAACTGCCTTCTCCTAAACCTAGCGACAGATCTATTAGTTCAGAAGCAGAAATGACGGAAATTATCACTGAAAAACCAATGGTTGAAAAGGATGAAAGGGAACCTATTACTGACATTTTCGATAATAAAATAGTAAGTCCAGTCAAAATAGATCAATCTATGCCAGTTCCGTCCAAACCAGATGGAACAACACCTACTTTAGTCTGGGATGAATCGCAAGAAACAGAAATCACCAATATCTTAAAAGATTTTATGCCTATAGGGAAACCAGAGGAACACACCATTCACAAAAACGAGTCTACGACTGTCAAAGGAGTAAAAATAGAGAGAGAATATATAATTACTACAGTTATCACTGAATTTAAACACGTTACTAAAAAAGTTAAAAAATTCAAGGTATGCATTATGACCATAGAAACAGATGATTACCCAGATGGTTCTAGATTTACTCGAGTCATAAGACAAATGAAACTTTTCGATAAAAAACCTGACCCTATACCATTTGAATTCGAAGACAAATTGCAGATCCCTGAAGAAGGGTCAAACGTGGCAACAAGCGTCAAAACTAAGCTAGCAGTAATTGATAAAAAACCACAGCCTATCGAGCTTGGTGATACGAATCTGATAAAATCAAGTGAACAAGCAAAAGATCCAACCGAGTACGAGGATCAAAAAATAAATCTAGCTAAACAGGAAGGCGTCGAACAAAAGACATTGGATGAGAAATCATCACCGAAGCATAAACACGAAGTTCATGAAGAAAAAGAAATCATCGAAGTAACACGAGAATCAAATCTAATAAAAACACAAGATACAATGAAAACTTTGGAAAAGCCAGTGGACAAAAAAGAAGACTCCCAGAAACCGGACGGAGAACCACTTTCATTAGTTTTTGACGAAAAACAAGAGTCAGAAATAAATTCAATTTTAAGAGACTATGAACCGATGAGTAAAGGTGAAGAACATAGTACCGGTAAAATTGAAACTGTCACTGAAAATGGCGTATTAATAAAAAGGAGTTCAATGATTTCGACTGTAATCCAGAAATTTTTGCACACAACCAAGAAAAATGTCTTATACAGAATATGTATTATGACAACTGAAGCTGATGAACATCCTGATGGTTCTAAATACACCAGAATTATCAGACAAATGAAAGTGGTTGACGAATATCCATACCCGATACCTTTTGAATTCGAAGATAAACTTAGACCGCCAATTGAAGAAAACACAGAGGAACAAAGAGTGGCTGTGGATATTGTTGAAAAATTACCTATCCAACCAAAGATTGCAGAAACAGAACCAAGCACAGCTAAGCCTGATGAGAGAAAACTTAGTCTCGTCACACCAGTAGAAATGGCTCCAAGCCCAGTTCATCTCGATGAGAAAGTACCTAGCCCTATTAGGCCAGGTGATAAAGAACCTAGTCCGGTCAAGCCTGATGAGAGGAAACCTTGTCTCGTCACACCAGAGGAGAAGGCGCCAAGCCCAGTACATCTCGATGAGAAGTTACCTAGCCCTGTCAAGCCAGGTGATAAAGAACCTAGCCCGGTCAAGCCTGATGAGAGGAAACCTAGTCTGGTCACACCAGAGGAGAAGGCGCCAAGCCCAGTACATATCGATGAGAAAGTACCTAGCCCTGTCAAGCCAGGTGATAAAGAACCTAGTCCGGTCAAGCCTGATGAGAGGAAACCTAGTCTGGTCACACCAGAGGAGAAGGCGCCAAGCCCAGTACATCTCGATGAGAAGTTACCTAGCCCTGTCAAGCCAGGTGATAAAGAACCTAGCCCGGTCAAGCCTGATGAGAGGAAACCTAGTCTGGTCACACCAGAGGAGAAGGCGCCAAGCCCAGTACATCTCGATGAGAAAGTACCTAGCCCTGTCAAGCCAGGTGATAAAGAACCTAGCCCGGTCAAGCCTAATGAGAGGAAACCTAGTCTGGTCACACCAGAGGAGAAGGCGCCAAGCCTAGTACATCTCGATGAGGAAGTACCTAGCCCTGTCAAGCCAGGTGATAAAGAACCTAGTCCGGTCAAGCCTGATGAGAGGAAACCTAGTCTAGTCACACCAGGGGAGAAGGCGCCAAGCCCAGTACATCTCGATGAGAAGTTACCTAGCCCCGTCAAGCCAGGTGATAAAGAACCTAGTCCGGTCAAGCCTGATGAGAGGAAACCTAGTCTGGTCACACCAGAGGAGAAGGCGCCAAGCCCAGTACATCTCGATGAGAAGTTACCTAGCCCTGTCAAGCCAGGTGATAAAGAACCTAGCCCGGTCAAGCCTGATGAGAGGAAGCCTAGTCTCATCACACCAGAGGAGAAAGCGCCAAGCCCAGAACTTCTCGATGAAAAAGTACCTAGCCCTATTAAGCCAGGTGATAAAGAACCAAGCCCGGTCAAGCCTGATGAGAGGAAGCCTAGTCTCGTCACACCAGAGGAGAAAGCGCCAAGCCCAGAACTTCTCGATGAAAAAGTACCTAGCCCTATTAAGCCAGATGATAAAGAACCTAGCCCGGTCAAGCCTGATGAGAGGAAGCCTAGTCTCGTCACATCAGAGGAGAAGGCGCCAAGCCCAGTACATCTCGATGAGAAAGTACCTAGCCCTATCAAGCCAGGTGATAAAGAACCTAGTCCGGTCAAGCCTGATGAGAGGAAACCTAGTCTGGTCACACCAGAGGAGAAGGCGCCAAGCCCAGTACATCTCGATGAGAAAGTACCTAGCCCTGTCAAGCCAGGTGATAAAGAACCTAGTCCGGTCAAGCCTGATGAGAGGAAACCTAGTCTGGTCACACCAGAGGAGAAAGCGCCAAGCCCAGAACTTCTCGATGAAAAAGTACCTAGCCCTGTCAAGCCAGGTGATAAAGAACCTAGTCCGGTCAAGCCTGATGAGAGGAAACCTAGTCTCGTCACACCAGAGGAGAAGGCGCCAAGCCCAGTTCATCTCGATGAGAAAGTACCTAGCCCTGTCAAGCCAGGTGATAAAGAACCTAGTCCGGTCAAGCCTGATGAGAGGAAACCTAGTCTCGTCACACCAGAGGAGAAGTTGCCAAGCTCGGAACTTCTCGATGAAAAAGTACCTAGCCCTATTAAGCCAGGTGATAAAGAACCTAGCTCGGTCAAGCCTGATGACAGGAAACCTAGTCTCGTCACATCAGAGGAGAAGGCGCCAAGCCCAGTACATCTCGATGAGAAGTTACCTAGCCCTGTCAAGCCAGGTGATAAAGAACCTAGCCCGGTCAAGCCTGATGAGAGGAAACCTAGTCTGGTCACACCAGAGGAGAAGGCGCCAAGCCCAGTACATCTCGATGAGGAAGTACCTAGCCCTGTCAAGCCAGGTGATAAAGAACCTAGTCCGGTCAAGCCTGATGAGAGGAAACCTAGTCTGGTCACACCAGAGGAGAAGGCGCCAAGCCCAGTACATCTCGATGAGAAAGTACCTAGCCCTGTCAAGCCAGGTGATAAAGAACCTAGTCCGGTCAAGCCTGATGAGAGGAAACCTAGTCTCGTCACACCAGAGGAGAAAGCGCCAAGCCCAGAACTTCTCGATGAAAAAGTACCTAGCCCTATTAAGCCAGGTGATAAAGAACCTAGCCCGGTCAAGCCTGATGAGAGGAAACCTAGTCTCGTCACACCAGAGGAGAAGGCGCCGAGCCCAGTACATCTCGATGAGAAAGTACCTAGCCCTATTAAGCCAGGTGACAAAGAACCAAGCCCGGTCAAGCCTGATGAGAGGAAGCCTAGTCTCGTCACACCAGCGGAGAAAGCGCCAAGCCCAGAACTTCTGGATGAAAAAGTACCTAGCCCTATTAAGCCAGATGATAAAGAACCTAGCTCGGTCAAGCCTGATGACAGGAAACCTAGTCTCGTCACATCAGAGGAGAAGGCGCCAAGCCCAGTCCATCTCGATGAGAAGTTACCAAGCCCTGTCAAGCCAGGTGATAAAGAACCTAGCCCGGTCAAGCCTGATGAGAGGAAGCCTAGTCTCGTCACACCAGAGGAGAAGGCGCCGAGCCCAGTACATCTCGATGAGAAGTTACCTAGCACTGTCAAGCCAGGTGATGAAGTACCTAGCACGGTCAAGCCTGATGAGGGGAAGCCTAGTCTCATAACAGCAGACGAGAAGGCACCGAGCCCCGTACATCTCGATGAGAAGTTACCTAGCCCTGTCAAGCCAGGTGATAAAGAACCTAGCCTGGTCAAGTCTGATGAGAGGAAACCTAGTCTCGTCACACCAGAGAAGAAGGCGCCAAGCCCAGTACATCTCGATGAGAAAGTACCTAGCCCTGTCAAGCCAGGTGATAAAGAACCTAGTCCGGTCAAGCCAGATGAGAGGAAACCTAGTCTCGTCACACCAGAGGAGAAGTTGCCAAGCTCAGAACTTCTCGATGAAAAAGTACCTAGCCCTATTAAGCTAGGTGATAAAGAAGCTAGCCCGGTCAAGCCTGATGAGAGGAAACCTAGTCTCGTCACACCAGAGGAGAAGGCGCCGAGCCCAGTACATCTCGATGAGAAAGTACCTAGCCCTGTCAAGCCAGGTGATAAAGAACCTAGTCCGGTCAAGCCTGATGAGAGGAAGCCTAGTCTCGTCACACCAGAGGAGAAAGCGCCAAGCCCAGAACTTCTCGATGAATCAGTACCTAGCCCTATTAAGCCAGATGATAAAGAACCTAGCTCGGTCAAGCCTGATGACAGGAAACCTAGTCTCGTCACATCAGAGGAGAAGGCGCCAAGCCCAGTACATCTCGATGAGAAGTTACCTAGCCCTCTCAAGCCAGGTGATAAAGAACCTAGCCCGGTCAAGCCTGATGAGAGGAAGCCTAGTCTCGTCACACCAGAGGAGAAGGCGCCGAGCCCAGAACTTCTCGATGAAAAAGTACCTAGCTCTATTAAGCTAGGTGATAAAGAAGCTAGCCCGGTCAAGCCTGATGAGAGGAAACCTAGTCTCGTCACACCAGAGGAGAAGGCGCCGAGCCCAGTACATCTCGATGAGAAAGTACCTAGCCCTGTCAAGCCAGGTGATAAAGAACCTAGTCCGGTCAAGCCTGATGAGAGGAAACCTAGTCTCGTCACACCAGAGGAGAAGTTGCCAAGCTCAGAACTTCTCGATGAAAAAGTACCTAGCCCTATTAAGCCAGGTGATAAAGAACCTAGTCCGGTCAAGCCTGATGAGAGGAAACCTAGTCTCGTCACACCACAGGAGAAGGCGCCAAGCCCAGAACATCTTGATGAGAAGGCGCCAAGCCCAGAACATCTCGATGAGAAGTTATCTAGCCCTATTAAGCCAGGTGATAAAGAACCTAGCTCGGTCAAGCCTGATGACAGGAAACCTAGTCTCGTCACATCAGAGATGAAAGCGCCAAGCCCAGAACTTCTCGATGAAAAAGTACCTAGCCCTATTAAGCCAGATGATAAAGAACAGAGTCCGGTCAAGCCTCATGAGAGGAAACCTAGTCTCGTCACACCAGAGGAGAAGGCGCCAAGCCCAGTACATCTCGATGAGAAGTTACCCAGCCCTGTCAAGCCAGGTGATAAAGAACCTAGCCCGGTCAAGCCTGATGAGAGGAAACCTAGTCTGGTCACACCAGAGGAGAAGGCGCCAAGCCCAGTACATCTCGATGAGGAAGTACCTAGCCCTGTCAAGCCAGGTGATAAAGAACCTAGTCCGGTCAAGCCTGATGAGAGGAAACCTAGTCTAGTCACACCAGGGGAGAAGGCGCCAAGCCCAGTACATCTCGATGAGAAGTTACCTAGCCCCGTCAAGCCAGGTGATAAAGAACCTAGTCCGGTCAAGCCTGATGAGAGGAAACCTAGTCTGGTCACACCAGAGGAGAAGGCGCCAAGCCCAGTACATCTCGATGAGAAGTTACCTAGCCCTGTCAAGCCAGGTGATAAAGAACCTAGCCTGGTCAAGCCTGATGAGAGGAAGCCTAGTCTCGTCACACCAGAGGAGAAAGCGCCAAGCCCAGAACTTCTCGATGAAAAAGTACCTAGCCCTATTAAGCCAGATGATAAAGAACCTAGCCCGGTCAAGCCTGATGAGAGGAAGCCTAGTCTCGTCACACCAGAGGAGAAGGCGCCAAGCCCAGTACATCTCGATGAGAAAGTACCTAGCCCTGTCAAGCCAGATGATAAAGAACCTAACCCGGTCAAGCCTGATGAGAGGAAGCCTAGTCTCGTCACACCGGAGGAGAAGGCGCCAAGCCCAGTATATCTCGATGAGAAGTTACCTAGCCCTGTCAAGCCAGGTGATAAAGAACCTAGTCCGGTCAAGCCTGATGAGAGTAAACCTAGTCTGGTCACACCAGAGGAGAAGGCGCCAAGCCCAGTACATCTCGATGAGAAGTTACCTAGCCCTGTCAAGCCAGGTGATAAAGATCCTAGTCTGGTCAAGCCTGATGAGAGGAAACCTAGTCTGGTCACACCAGAGGAGAAGGCGCCAAGCCCAGTACATCTCGATGAGAAGTTACCTAGCCCTGTCAAGCCAGGTGATAAAGAACCTAGCCCGGTCAAGCCTGATGAGAAGAAACCTAGTCTCGTCACAGCACAGGAGAAGGCGCCAAGCCCAGAACATTTTGATGGGAAGGCGCCAAGCCCAGAACATCTTGATGAGAAGGCGCCAAGCCCAGAACATCTCGATGAGAAGTTATCTAGCCCTATTAAGCCAGGTGATAAAGAACTTAGCTCGGTCAAGCCTGATGAGAGGAAACCTAGTCTCGTCACACCACAGGAGAAGGCGCCAAGCCCAGAACATATTGATGAGAAGGCGCCAAGCCCAGAACATCTCGATGAGAAGTTATCTAGCCCTATTAAGCCAGGTGATAAAGAACCTAGCTCGGTCAAGCCTGATGACAGGAAACCTAGTCTCGTCACATCAGAGATGAAAGCGCCAAGCCCAGAACTTCTCGATGAAAAAGTACCTAGCCCTATTAAGCCAGATGATAAAGAACAGAGTCCGGTCAAGCCTGATGAGAGGAAGCCTAGTCTCGTCACAGCGGACGAGAAGGCGCCGAGCCCAGTACATCTCGATGAGAAGTTACCTAGCCCTGTCAAGCCAGGTGATAAAGAACCTAGCCCGGTCAAGCCTGAGGAGAGGAAGCCTAGTCTCGTCACACCAGAGGAGAAGGCGCCAAGCCCAGTACATCTCGATGAGAAGTTACCTAGCACTGTCGTACCAGGTGATAAAGAACCTAGCACGGTCAAGCCTGATGAGAGGAAGCCTAGTCTCGTCACATCAGAGGAGAAGGCGCCAAGCCCAGTACATCTCGATGAGAAGTTACCTAGCACTGTCGAGCCAGGTGATGAAGTACCTAGCCCGGTCAAGCCTGATGAGAGGAAGCCTAGTCTCGTCACAGCAGACGAGAAGGCACCGAGCCCAGAAAATCTTGATGAAAAAGTACCTAGCCCTATTAAGCCAGGTGATAAAGAACCTAGTCCGGTCAAGCCTGATGAGAGGAAGCCTAGTCTCGTCACAGCAGACGAGAAGGCGCCGAGCCCCGTACATCTTAATGAGAAGTTAACTAGCCCTGTCAAGCCAGGTGATAAAGAACCTAGCCCGGTCAAGCCTGATGAGAGGAAGCCTAGTCTCGTCACACCAGAGGAGAAGGCGCCGAGCCCAGAACTTCTCGATGAAAAAGTACCTAGCCCTATTAAGCTAGGTGATAAAGAAGCTAGCCCGGTCAAGCCTGATGAGAGGAAACCTAGTCTCGTCACACCAGAGGAGAAGGCGCCGAGCCCAGTACATCTCGATGAGAAAGTACCTAGCCCTGTCAAGCCAGGTGATAAAGAACCTAGTCCGGTCAAGCCTGATGAGAGGAAACCTAGTCTCGTCACACCAGAGGAGAAGGCGCCAAGCCCAATACATCTCGGTGAGAAGTTACCTAGCCCTGTCAAGCCAGGTGATAAAGAACCTAGCACGGTCAAGCCTGATGAGAAGAAGCCTAGTCTCGTCACACCAGAGGAGAAGGCGCCGAGCCCATTACATCTCGATGAGAAGTTACCTAGCACTGTCGAGCCAGGTGATAAAGAACCTAGCACGGTCAAGCCTGAGGAGAGGAAGCCTAGTCTCGTCACAGCAGACGAGAAGGCGCCGAGCCCCGTACATCTCGATGAGAAGTTACCTAGCCCTGTCAAGCCAGGTGATAAAGATCCAAGCTCGGTCAAGCCTGATGAGAGGAAGCCTAGTCTCGTCACAGCAGACGAGAAGGCGCCGAGCCCCGTACAACTCGATGATAAGTTACCTAGCCCTGTCAAACCAGGTGATAAAGAACCTAGCCCGGTCAAGCCTGATGACAGGAAACCGAGTCTCGTCACAGCAGAGGAGAAGGCGCCAAGCTCAGAACTTCTCGATGAAAAAGTACCTAGCCCTATTAAGCTAGGTGATAAAGAACCTAGCCCGGTCAAGCCTGATGAGAGGAAGCCTAGTCTCGTCACACCAGAGGAGAAGGCGCCGAGCCCAGTACATCTCGATGAGAAGTTACCTAGCACTGTCAAGCCAGGTGATGAAGTACCTAGCCCGGTCAAGCCTGATGAGAGGAAGCCTAGTCTCGTTTCAGCAGACCAGAAGGCGCCGAGCCCCGTACATCTCGATGAGAAGTTACCTAGCCCTGTCAAGCCAGGTGATGAAGTACCTAGCCCGGTCAAGCCTGATGAGAGGAAGCCTAGTCTCGTTACAGCAGACGAAAAGGCGCCGAGCCCAGTACATCTCGATGAGAAGTTACCTAGCCCTGTCAAGCCAAGTGATAAAGAACCTAGCACGGTCAAGCCTGAGGAGAGGAAGCCTAGTCTCGTCACAGCAGACGAGAAGGCGCCGAGCCCCGTACATCTCGATGAGAAGTTACCTAGCCCTGTCAAGCCAGGTGATAAAGATCCAAGCTCGGTCAAGCCTGATGAGACGAAGCCTAGTCTCGTCACAGCAGACGAGAAGGCGCCGAGCCCCGTACAACTCGATGATAAGTTACCTAGCCCTGTCAAACCAGGTGATAAAGAACCTAGCCCGGTCAAGCCTGATGACAGGAAACCGAGTCTCGTCACAGCAGAGGAGAAGGCGCCAAGCCCAAAACTTTTCGATGAAAAAGTACCTAGCCCTATAAGGCCAGGTGATAAAGAACCTAGCCCGGTCAAGCCTGATGAGAGGAAGCCTAGTCTCGTCATAGCAGACGAGAAGGCGCCGAGCCCAGTACATCTCGATGAGAAGTTACCTAGCCCTGTCAAGCCAGGTGATGAAGTACCTAGCCCGGTCAAGCCTGATGAGAGGAAGCCTAGTCTCGTCATAGCAGACGAGAAGGCGCCGAGCCCCGTACAACTCGGTGAGAAGTTACCTAGCCCTGTCAAACCAGGTGATAAAGAACCTAGCCCGGTCAAGCCTGATGAGAGGAAGCCTAGTCTCGTCACACCAGAGGAGAAGGCGCCGAGCCCAGTACATCTCGATGAGAAGTTACCTAGCACTGTCAAGCCAGGTGATGAAGTACCTAGCCCGGTCAAGCCTGATGAGAGGAAGCCTAGTCTCGTTTCAGCAGACCAGAAGGCGCCGAGCCCCGTACATCTCGATGAGAAGTTACCTAGCCCTGTCAAGCCAGGTGATGAAGTACCTAGCCCGGTCAAGCCTGATGAGAGGAAGCCTAGTCTCGTTACAGCAGACGAAAAGGCGCCGAGCCCAGTACATCTCGATGAGAAGTTACCTAGCCCTGTCAAGCCAAGTGATAAAGAACCTAGCACGGTCAAGCCTGAGGAGAGGAAGCCTAGTCTCGTCACAGCAGACGAGAAGGCGCCGAGCCCCGTACATCTCGATGAGAAGTTACCTAGCCCTGTCAAGCCAGGTGATAAAGATCCAAGCTCGGTCAAGCCTGATGAGACGAAGCCTAGTCTCGTCACAGCAGACGAGAAGGCGCCGAGCCCCGTACAACTCGATGATAAGTTACCTAGCCCTGTCAAACCAGGTGATAAAGAACCTAGCCCGGTCAAGCCTGATGACAGGAAACCGAGTCTCGTCACAGCAGAGGAGAAGGCGCCAAGCCCAAAACTTTTTGATGAAAAATTACCTAGCCCTATAAGGCCAGGTGATAAAGAACCTAGCCCGGTCAAGCCTGATGAGAGGAAGCCTAGTCTCGTCATAGCAGACGAGAAGGCGCCGAGCCCAGTACATCTCGATGAGAAGTTACCTAGCCCTGTCAAGCCAGGTGATGAAGTACCTAGCCCGGTCAAGCCTGATGAGAGGAAGCCTAGTCTCGTCATAGCAGACGAGAAGGCGCCGAGCCCCGTACAACTCGATGAGAAGTTACCTAGCCCTGTCAAACCAGGTGATAAAGAACCTAGCCCGGTCAAGCCTGATGAGAGGAAGCCTAGTCTCGTCACACCAGAGGAGAAGGCGCCGAGCCCAGTACATCTCGATGAGAAGTTACCTAGCACTGTCAAGCCAGGTGATGAAGTACCTAGCCCGGTCAAGCCTGATGAGAGGAAGCCTAGTCTCGTTACAGCAGACGAGAAGGCGCCGAGCCCCGTACATCTCGATGAGAAGTTACCTAGCCCTGTCAAGCCAGGTGATGAAGTACCTAGCCCGGTCAAGCCTGATGAGAGGAAGCCTAGTCTCGTTACAGCAGACGAAAAGGCGCCGAGCCCAGTACATCTCGATGAGAAAGTACCTAGCACTATTATGCCAAGTGATAAAGAAACTAGCACGGCCGAGCCTGATGAAAGGAAACCTAGTCTCATCACAGCAGACGAGAAGGCGCCGAGCCCCGTACATCTCGATGAGAAGTTACCTAGCCCTGTCAAGCCAGGTGATAAAGAACCTAGCCCGGTCAAGCCTGATGAGAGGAAGCCTAGTCTCGTCACACCAGAGGAGAAGGCGCCGAGCCCAATACATCTCGATGAGAAGTTACCTTGCACTGTCAAGCCAGGTGATGAAGTACCTAGCCCGGTCAAGCCTGATGAGAGGAAGCCTTGTCTCGTTACAGCAGACGAGAAGGCGCCAAGCCCCGTACATCTCGATGAGAAGTTACCTAGCCCTGTCAAGCCAGGTGATAAAGAACCTAGCCCGGTCAAGCCTGAGGAGAGGAAGCCTAGTCTCACCACGCCAGAAGAAATATTACGTCCAGTACACGTCGACGATAAATCATCTACAATAACCAAGATAGACGATAAACTGGAAGAAAAAGAATTAAGTCTGTCGGAGACTGATGAAGACGTGTCTAGCATTATATCTGTAGAAAAAATGAGCAAAGCAACAGATCATTCCCCTGGTAAAATTGTTGATGACAAATACATTTCTGTTAACACTTGTGATTCTATAAAAATTGAAAGTGATAAATTTGAAATAAGGGAAGAAAATGAAGATGGTTATATCGTCATAGAAAAAGATCATCTTGAAGACATGCAAACAACTTTGGAAGTTGTTGCTACAGGAAGCCCAAAGGAACAAATTGATATGAAAGCGGAAAATATTAATGAAAAAGATACCACCATCGATGAAAAATCACTAGAATTCAAAATTTCTGATGCCCTTCTCAGCAAAGTTCCTGAAAAAGAACCTAGTCCAGAGAAAGAGGCTCAGACCAAGGATAAAGTTGATCAAGAAGTCATGAAAACCAAAGATCACCTGTTCGACAGCACAATTAATGAACAATTTAAAGTCTTAGAACATGAAAGAGATCAACCTGACGATGAAGTACCTAGCCCCGATCTTGTGTTGGATGCGAGTCCAATACCAGACTTAGAGACTGTTATACAAAGAGATGACATTCATCTAGAAAAAGATAGCAGACAAATAATTTCTAATAAAGAGGAAGTTTTGAAAAGTATCGAGAAAATAGGAAAAATCCCATTACAAACAACAGATAGACTAAAAACTAGTGAAATCGATATTGTGGACACCAATAAAAAACTTTTAATCCCAAGTGATGCACTAGTTATTGGTACAAAACAAGAGTTAAAGATGGAACTAGAACTCCATGAAAGTACAAAAAGAGATATCATTTCTAATAAACTTGATGATAAGCAAGTTGATTTAGAAAAAGATAAACATTATATCAAATATGATGAAAAAACAATCGATGGTGAAGACCAAAATGGTATGGCAAATATACCATTTGAGAAATGCCCAGTCACAGAACCTTGGTCAGAAAAGTTTGATGAAAAAGCCCCCAGCCCGTTTAAACTTGATGAGAAAGTACCTAGCACAGCTAAGCCTGATGACAAGGTGACTGTCGGTAGCAAGCTTGAAGAGAAACCACCAAGTCCAGATAAGCTTGATGAAAAAGAGCCCAGCCCAGTCAAACCAGACGAGAAGGCACCTAGTACAGATAAACCTGATAACAAGGTGACTGTGGGTCAGAAGCTTGAAGATAAGACCCTAAGCGAAGCCAAGCCCGATGAAAAATTACCTAGCCTGGTCAAACCTGTTGAGGTAACACCTAGCACAGATAAGCCTGGTGAGAAAGTGACTGTGAGTGACGAACTTGACGAGAAGACACTAAGTGCAGATAAGCCTGAAGAAAAACAGCCCAGCCCACTCAAACCTGATGAGAAGGCATCTAGCACAGAAAAACCTGATGGCAAGGAGGCTGTGGGTGACAACCTTGACGAGAAGACAGCAAGCCCAGCCAAGACAGATGTAAAAGCACCCAGCTTAGTTAAACCTGATGAGAAGGCACCTAGCCCAGATAAGCCTGACAAGCTTGATGAGAAGGCACATAGCTCAACCAAGCCTGATGATGACACACCCAGCCCGGTCGAACGTGATGAGAAAGCACCTAGCACAGATAAACCTGATACAGTGACTGTAAGCGACAAGCATGAAAAGGAACCTAGCCCAGCCAAGCTTGGCAAGGAGACACTAAGCCCAACCAAGCCTGGTGAAAAGACACCAAGCCTAGTTGAGGCTTACGAAAAGCCGCCGAGCCCAATCAAGCCTGACGAAAAAGCGCCAAGCCCATCAGTCAAGCCTGATGACAAGATATCAAGTCCGGTCAAGCTTGACGAAAAGGCACCAAGCCCAGTCAAGCCTGATGAAAAAGTACCAAGCCCAGTCGAGCCTGATGAAAAGGCACCAAGCCCACTCAAGCCTGATGAAAAGGTACCAAGCCTAGTCGAGCCTGATGAACAGGCACCAAGCCCACTCAAGCCTGATGAAAAGGTACCAAGCCCAGTCGAGCCTGATGAAAAGGCACCAAGCCCAGTTAAGCCTGATGACGAGAAACCAAGCCCAATCAAGCCTGACGAAAAGGCACCAAGCCCAATTAAGCATGATGAAAAGACGCCAAGCTCAGACAAGCCTGACGAAAAAGCAACAAGACCAGTCAAGCCTGATGAGGAAGTACCAAGCCCAGTCAAACCTGATGACGAGACACCAAGCCCAATCAAGCCTGACGAAAAGGCACCAAGCCCATCAGTCAAACCTGATGAAAAGGCGCCAAGCCCATCAGACAAGCCTGATGAAAAGACGCCAAGCTCAGACAAGCCTGACGAAAAAGCAACAAGCCCAGTCAAGCCCGATGAAAAAGTACCAAGCCCAGTCAAACCTGATGACGAGACACCAAGCCCAATCAAGCCTGATGAAAAGGCACAAAGCCCAGTTATGCCTCCTGAAAAGGTGCCAAGCCCAGTCAAGCCTTGTGAAGAGACACCAAGCCCATTCAAGCCTGGGGAAAAGGCACCAAGCCCAGTCAAGCCTGATGAAAAGATACCCAGCCCAGTCAAGCCTGACGAAAAGACACGAAGCCCAGTCAAGCCTGATGACGAGACACCAAGCCCAATCAAGCCTGATGAAAAGGCGCCAAGCCCATTAGACAAGCCTGATGACGAGACACCAAGCCCAGTAAAGCCTGGTGAAAAGAAATCAAGCCTAGTCAAGCCCGATGAAAAAACACCAGGACCAGTCATACCCCATGAAGAAACAACAAGCCCAGTCACGCATCATGAAAAGGCACCAATCCAAGTTAAGCCTGGTGACGAGACACCAAGCCCAGTCAAGCCTGATGAAAAGGTACCAAGCCCAGTCGAGCCCGATGAAAAGGCGCCAAGCCCAGTCAAGCCTGAAGAAAAGACACCCAGCCCAGTCAAGCCTGACGAGAGGGCACCAAGCCCAGCCAAGCCTGATGACAAGCCGTCAGCTGATAGACACGATGAGAAAGAGACTATAAATGATAAAATTAGTGAAAATACTACCAGCTTTGACACAGTTGGTGAAAAACTAATAAAACCATTAAAACTGAATTTGGTTTCTAGTTTCAAACCAAGTTTGATTGAATCAGATGAAGAAGTTCTTAGTCCTGATTTAATAGACGACACTGCACCAGTTGATACTAAATTTGAAAATATTGAAAAACTAATTTCTCAAAACGTGGAATCTGGAGGATCAGAAATTGAAAGACTGGACACTCTCGACGAACAAGAAATTGAAAAACAGCTTTTAGGCTTCGAACCAGTAGGCGAAACTGAAGAAGACACAACATCACAAATAGTAACAATTAATGAAAGTGGTATTGTCATTATTAGAAAAACAACAGTAACAACTTTAATACAAGAATATTCAAATATAAGTAAATCAACCACCAAATTTAAAATAACAATAATTTCAATGGAGGCCGATGAATTACCAGATGGAACGAAATTCAGTAGAACGTTTAAAGAAGTTTCTGTTGCTGATACGAGACCTAAAAAGAGCACGGTTAAAATTGAAGTTAAAGAGCCTACGCCAGTTAAAGATGTAAATCTTACAATAGCTAACATTGCATTAGAAAAGGTTAAAATACCAAGTGTAGAAGCTAAGTTTGATGAGATAGGGCCCAGCATAGTGAAGCTCGATGAGATGGCGCCAAGCCCAGATAAACCTGATAAGAAAGCGGCTATCCCAGTCGAACCTGATGAAAAAACGCAAAGCCCAATCGAGTCTGATGACAAAGAACCTAAAGTAGATAAGATTGATGACAAGAGAGTTAGCCCAGTCAAGCTTGGTGAAAAGGTGCCAAGCCCAGTCGCGACTGACGAGGAGGCGCCAAGCCGAGTCGAGTCTAGTGAAAAGGCGCCAAGCCCAGTAAAGCCTGGTGAAAAGATATCAAGCCTAGTCAAGCCCGATGAAAAAACACCAGGACCAGTCATACCCCATGAAGAAAAGGCACCAAGCCAAGTTAAGCCTGGTGACGAGACACCAAGCCCAGTCAAGCCTGATGAAAAGGTACCAAGCCCAGTCGAGCCCGGTGAAAAGGCGCCAAGCCCAGTCAAGCCTGAAGAAAAGACACCCAGCCCAGTCAAGCCTGACGAGAGGGCACCAAGCCCAATCAAGCCTGATGAAAAGGCGCCAAGCCCATCAGTCAAGCCCGATGAAAAGGTTCCACGCCCAGTCGAACCTAATGAAAAGGCACCAAGCCCAGTTAAGCCTGATGACGAGAAACCAAGCCCAATCAAGCCTGATGAAAAGGTACCAAGCCCAGTCAAGCCTGACGAAAAGGCACCAAGTCCAATTAAACATGATGAAAAGACGCCAAGCTCAGACAAGCCTGACGAAAAGACACCCAGCCCAATCAAGCCTGATGACGACACACTTAAAACAATTAAGCCTGATGAAACGACACCAAGCCCAATCAAGCCTGACGAAAAGGCGCCAAGCCCATCAGTTGAGCCTGATGAAAAGGCGCCAAGCCCATCAGAAAAGCTTGATGAAAAGACAACAAGCCCAATTAAGTCTGACGAAAAGGCACCAAGCCCATCAGTCAAGCCCGATGAAAAGGTTCCAAGCCCAGTCAAGCCTGATGAAAAAGTACCAAGCCCAGTCAAACCTGATGACGAGACATCAAGCCCAATCAAGCCTGACGAAAAGGCACCAAGCCCATCAGTCAAACCTGATGAAAAGGCGCCAAGCCCATCAGACAAGCCTGATGAAAAGACGCCAAGCCCAGTCAAGCCTGATGAAAAAGTACCAAGCCCAGTCAAACCTGATGACGAGACACCAATCCCAGTTAAGCTTGATGACGAGAAACCAAGCCCAATCAAGCCTGATGAAAAGGTACCAAGCCCTGTCAAGCCTGACGAAAAGGCACCAAGCCCATCAGACAAGCCTGATGAAACGACACCAAGCCCAATCATTCCTGACGAAAAGGCACCAAGCCCAATCAAGCTTGACGAAAAGGCGCCAGGGCCAATAGACAAGCCTGATGAAACGACACCAAGCCAAATCAAGCCTGACGAAAAGGCGCCAAGCCCATCAGTCAAGCCTGATGAAAAGACACCAATCCCAATCAAGCCTGACGAAAAGGCGCCAAGCCCATCAGACAAGCCTGATGAAAAGACACCAAGCCCAATCAAGCTTGACGAAAAGGCACCAAGCCCATCAGTCAAGCCTGATGAAAAGACGCCAAGCCCATCAGGCTTGTCTGATGAAAAGACACCCAGCCCAATCAAGCCTGATGACGACACACTTAAAACAATTAAGCCTGATGAAACGACACCAAGCCCAATCAAGCCTGACGAAAAGGCGCCAAGCCCATCAGTTGAGCCTGATGAAAAGGCGCCAAGCCCATCAGAAAAGCTTGATGAAAAGACAACAAGCCCAATTAAGTCTGACGAAAAGGCACCAAGCCCATCAGTCAAGCCCGATGAAAAGGTTCCAAGCCCAGTTGAACCTGACGAAAAGGCACCAAGCCCAGTTAAGCCTGATGACGAGAAACCAAGCCCAATCAAGCCCGATGAAAAAGTACCAAGCCCTGTCAAGCCTGACGAAAAGGCACTAAGCCCATCAGACAAGCCTGATGAAACGACACCAAGCCCAATCAAGCCTGACGAAAAGGCACCAAGCCCATCAGTCAAGCCTGATGAAAAGACGCCAAGCCCATCAGACAAGCCTGATGAAAAGACACCAAGCCCAATCAAGCCTGACGAAAAGGCGCCAAGCCCAGTCAAGCCTGATGAGGAGACACCAAGCCCGATCAAGTCTGACGAAAAGGCGCCAAGCCCATCAGACAAGCCTGATGAAAAGACACCAAGCCCAATCAAGCCTGATGAAAAGGCGCCAAGCCCATCAGACAAGCCCGATGAAAAGGTTCCAAGCCCAGTTGAACCTGACGAAAAGACACCGAGCCCAGTCAAGCCTGATGAAAAGGCGCCAAGCCCAGTCAAGCCTGATGAGGAGACACCAAGCCCAATCAAGCCTGACGAAAAGGCGCCAAGCCCATCAGACAAGCCTGATGAAAAGACAACAAGCCCAATCAAGCCTGACGAAAAGGCACCAAGCCCATCAGTCAAGCCTGATGAAAAGACGCCAAGCCCATCAGACAAGCCTGATGAAAAGACACCCAGCCCATCAGTCAAGCCTGATGAAAAGACAGCAAGCCCAGTCAAGCCTGATGACGAGACACCAAGCCCAGTCAAGCCCGATGAAAAGGTTCTACGCCCAGTCGAACCTGACGAAAAGGCACCAAGCCCAGTTAAGCCTGATGACGAGAAACCAAGCCCAATCAAGCCTGATGAAAAAGTTCCAAGCCCTGTCAAGCCTGACGAAAAGGCACCAAGCCCATCAGTCAAGCCTGATGAAAAGACACCAAGCCCAGTCAAGCCTGATGACGAGACACCAAGCCCAGTCAAGCCCGATGAAAAGGTTCTACGCCCAGTCGAACCTGACGAAAAGGCACCAAGCCCAGTTAAGCCTGATGACGAGAAACCAAGCCCAATCAAGCCTGATGAAAAAGTACCAAGCCCCGTCAAGCCTGACGAAAAGGCACCAAGCCCAATCGAGCCTGTTGGAAAGGGGCCAAGCTCAGTCACGCCTGACGAAATGGTGCCAAGCCTATCAGTCAAGCCTGACGAAAAGGCGCCAAGCCCAATCAAGCCTGATGAAAAAACACCAAGCGCAAGCAAGCCTGATGAAAAGGCGCCAAGCTCAGACAAGCCTGATGAAAAAGCAACAAGCCCAGTCAAGTCTCATAACGAGACACCGAGCCCAATCGAGCCTGATGAAAAGGCGCCAAGCCCATCAGACAAGCCTGATGAACCGACACCAAGCCTAGTCGAGCCTGATGAAAAGGCGCCAAGCCCATCAGACAAGCCTGATGAAAAGACACCAAGACCAATTAAGCCTGATGAAAAGGCGCCAAGCCCATCAGACAAGCCTGATGAAAAGACACCAAGCCCAATTAAGCCTGACGAAAAGGCGCCAAGCCCATCAGACAAGCCTGATGAAACGACACCAAGCCCAATCAAGCCTGACGAAAAGGAACCAAGCACAGTCAAGCCTGATGAAAAGACCCCAAGCCCATCAGACAAGCCTGATGAAAAGGCGCCAAGGCCAATCAAGCCTGACGAAAAAGCGCCAAGCCCATCAGACAAGCCTGATGAAACGACACCAAGCCCAATCAAGCCTGACGAAAAGGCGCCAAGCCCATCAGACAAGCCTGATGAAACGACACCAAGCCCAATCAAGCCTGACGAAAAGGCACCAAGCCCATCAGTGGAGCCTGTAGAAAAGGCGCCAAGCCCATCTGACAAGCCTGATGAACCGACACCAAGCCCAATCAAGCCTGACGAAAAGGCGCCAAGCCCAGCAGACAAGCCTGATGAACCGACACCAAGCCCAATCAAGCCTGTTGAAAAGGCGCCAAGCCCAATCAAGCCTGACGAAAAGGTGCCAAGCACAGTCAAGCCTGATGAAAAGGCTCCAAGCCCATCAGACAAGCCTGATGAAAAGGCGCCAAGCCCCATCAAGCCTGACGAAAAGGCACCAGGGCCATTAGACAAGCCTGATGAAACGACACCAAGCCAAATCAAGCCTGACGAAAAGGCGCCAAGCCCATCAGTCAAGCCCGATGAAAAGGTTCCACGCCCAGTCGAACCTGATGAAAAGGCACCAAGCCCAGTTAAGCCTGATGACGAGAAACCAAGCCCAATCAAGCCTGATGAAAAAGTACCAAGCCCAGTCAAGCCTGACGAAAAGGCACCAAGCCCAATTAAACATGATGAAAAGACGCCAAGCTCAGAAAAGCCTGAAGAAAAAGCAACAAGCCCAGTCAAGCCTGATGAAAAAGTACCAAGCCCAGTCAAACCTGATGACGAGACATCAAGCCCAATCAAGCCTGACGAAAAGGCACCAAGCCCATCAGTCAAACCTAATGAAAAGGCGCCAAGCCCATCAGACAAGCCTGATGAAAAGACGCCAAGCTCAGACAAGCCTGACAAAAAAGCAACAAGCCCAGTCAAGCCTGATGAAAAAGTACCAAGCCCAGTCAAACCTGATGACGAGACACCAATCCCAGTTAAGCTTGATGACGAGAAACCAAGCCCAATCAAGCCTGATGAAAAGGTACCAAGCCCTGTCAAGCCTGACGAAAAGGCACCAAGCCCATCAGACAAGCCTGATGAAACGACACCAAGCCCAATCATACCTTACGAAAAGGCACCAAGCCCAATCAAGCTTGACGAAAAGGCGCCAGGGCCAATAGACAAGCCTGATGAAACGACACCAAGCCAAATCAAGCCTGACGAAAAGGCGCCAAGCCCAGCAGACAAGCCTGATGAAACGACACCAAGCCCAATCAAGCCTGATGAAAAGGCACCAAGCCCAATCAAGCCTGACGAAAAGGCGCCAAGCCCATTAGACAAGCCTGATGAAACGACACCAAGCCCAATCAAGCCTGATGAAAAGGCGCCAAGCCCATCAGTCATGTTTGGCGAAAAGGCACCAAGCCCAGTCAAGCCTGATGACGAGACACCAAGCCCAATCAAGCCTGTTGAAAAGGCGCCAAGCCCAATCAAGCCTGACGAAAAGGTGCCAAGCACAGTCAAGCCTGATGAAAAGGCTCCAAGCCCAATCAAGCCTGACGAAAAGGCGCCAAGCCCATCAGACAAGCCTGATGAAAAGACACCAAGCCCAAACAAGCCTGGTGACGAGACACCAAGCCCAGTCAAGCCTGATGACGAGAAACCAAGCCCAATCAAGCCTGATGAAAAAGTACCAAGCCCAGTCAAGCCTGACGAAAAGGCACCAAGCCCATCAGTCAAGCCTGATGAAAAGACACCAAGCCCAGTCAAGCCTGACGAAAAGGCGCCAAGCCCAGTCAAGCCTGATGAAAAGACACCAAGCCCAATCAAGCCTGGTGACGAGACACCAAGCCCAGTCAAGCCTGATGACGAGAAACCAAGCCCAATCAAGCCTGATGAAAAAGTACCAAGCCCAGTCAAGCCTGACGAAAAGGCACCGAGCCCATCAGTCAAGCCTGATGAAAAGACACCAAGCCCAGTCAAGCCTGATGACGAGACACCAAGCCCAGTCAAGCCTGATGAAAAGGCGTCAAGCCCATCAGTCAAACCTGATGAAAGGGCATCAAGCCCAGTCAAGCCTGGTGAAAAAGCGGCAAGCACAGTCAAGCCCGATGAAATGGTTCCAAGCCCAGTCGAACCTGACGAAAAGGCACCAAGCCCAGTTAAGCCTGACGAAAAGGCGCCAATCCCATCAGACAAGCCTGATGAAACGACACCATGCCCAATAAAGCCTGACGAAAAGGCGCCAAGCCCAGTCAGGCCTGGTGAAGAGACACCAAGCCCATACAAGCCTGATGAAAAGACACCTAGCCCAGTCAAGCCTGATGACAAGGAACCTAACGAGCATAACATCGATGAGAAGGCACCAAGTCCAGTGAAGCCTGAGGATGAAACTTCTTTCAAAGTAGTATCTGACGATAAAGCATACAGCTCTCCTAAAATCGATTTCAAAGAAGAAACTTCGTTAAAATTAGAAGAAAAGCTGTTGATTCAAGAAAAATTGGACAATGGAGACGTAAGTCCAAGCAGCCCTGTAAAAGATTTTTCGTTTTTCGATGAAACTGAAATAGAAGAGCGACTTAAAGAATTTAAACCCATGGGAGACACAGAAGAAAAAACTGTTACGCAATATTTGACGGTAACTGAAAGAGGGATTGTAATTGTGAGAACATTTATAATTACTACTATCGTTCAGAAATACTTTAGTATTACAAGAACAACAATAATTTATAAAATTGTAATAAATACTATCGAAGAAGACGAACTACCCGATGGTACCAAAGTCAGGAGAACATACAAGAAAACTACGCTCAGTGACACTAAGCCCAGTGTAGAACAACTTTTGAAGCTTTGTACTTTACAAATATCTGAAGATGAACTACACAAAGAATCAGAAGATATTGTGGAAAAAGAACTCAAACCTGTAGACTCAAGTGTCGCTTCAGTAAGCATAATTAAATCAGATGCTTTTCCACTCCATGACAAATCTGATGAAAATAAGCTGAGCCCAGTAAAGTCTGATGACCAAATCCCTGCAGCTGATAAACACAAAAAGGTTGCCAGCCCTATCAAGCCTGACGACAAGGTGCCAAGCCTACATAAGTTTGAAGAAAAGCAGCCTAGCCCAGTGCATCTTAGTGAGAAAGATCCCAGTCAAATGAAACTTGATAGCAAAAAACCCTCAATAGGTGAGCTTGATAAGAAGATAGCCAGCTCTGTCAAGCCTGATGAAAAGGTGCCCAGTTCTTTAAGTGACAAGCTTCATGAGAAGGTGCCTAGCTCAATCAACCTTGTTGATAAAGCAGCAAGCCACACAAGTGGCATGCTTGATAAGAAGGCACTGAGCCCAGAAATGGATGTAGATGTTACAGATGAAGGTTTTGAATCGATTAGCAAACCTCTGGAAGAAAGCACAACAAAAACCGAAATTGTTACTGTTACAAGTACCACAATTACAGACGTTAGCATCGGAGAACATTCGAAAGAAATAATTGAAGGGTCTAAAAAGGAAATAGAAAGAAAATTAAAAGATGATGAAAAAGACATTGACGAAAAGGAACACCTTGATGAACCTACTTCTATTTTAAGTAGTAAAACAACGCACGAGAACAAGATATTAGCTCAAACTGAGGATAAACCGGATCATACAATTAAAGATGAAATAATTCCAAAATCAAGTCACATTCGTGACTTAGGTACGGATGAAAAAGAAGTTTACGAAGATGGTGAGTCTCTAAGTGATGATAGTCAAACGTTAGACAAAGTTGATGACAAGCAAATTTTACATGATACTGATAAGCCTCACGATATCAAAAAGAGATCTCTTGGTGAGGAAAAGTATACACAAGATTTGATCGAGAGCACTATAGATACTCTTACTCCAATTCCACATGGTAGCAGTTCAGAAGACGTGTCTAAAGAAACAAGTCTTGAAGAAAAATATAGTTTTGAAAGCACTGAAAAAGAAAAAGAAACCTTTAAAGATAAGTTATATTCTGGTGAAACATCAATTCATAAAGTGGAATCTTTAATTATTGACGACTCAGTTACTTCAACATTAAAAGATACAGATTCAACAAGAGTTCATGATGGCAAAACTCAAGAACTCGGGTCACCTAAAGACGAAATTCCTCTATCTGAAGCATCTGATTCAGGAGTTCACAGTATACCTACAGATTTAGGACCAAGTGACGATAAATTAGTGGTACGCGCAATGAAAGATAGTGCTGCGCATCTTGTGGAATCTATTCATAAGGCGTTTGAAGAAGATACAGTACAACAAGGAATCAAAACTGAAAGCTTTGAATCCTTAGTGAGGGTTTCTACTCCCCCAACTGTACCAGTAAGTCCTCTTCCTAAAACTCCAAGTAGCTTCCAAGATGTGAAGATAAGCGATGGAGTTCAAAGTGAAGTTACATATGACAAGTCTGATGGCAGTGAAGAAACGATAACAAAAGTGGTTCACGTTGGCGATGACGTACTCACACAAAGAATTTCAACTTCAACTGAAAAAGTACCCAAAAAGACAACAAACTGCACAGATGACGAATCAGATCTCTTGTCTTTAATGCAAAATGTAGGAAAGATCAAAACCGAAACTGATACAGTAACAAAAATCATCAAAGAAGGTGAAAATGTTGTAACACAGACTATAACTACCGTAACTACTAAAGAAGTAATCTCAAGAGAAGATGGGACGCCTCAAAACATTAAGACCACCATTGAAACTACGACACTTAGTAAAGGCTCTGATGGTTCTACAACTACAACAAAAGACACACAAACATTACTTTCAGAATGTTCTTCCAGCCTTAGATCTACCTCATCAATGGATTTATATGCAAAAGATAGACTAGATAAAGATTATTTGGAAGGTGAAGAAAAGTTTGAAATTCGTGACTTGATTGAAAAACGCGAGTCTTCCGTACCTAAAGATGTAGAATCTTTGAAATCCTTTTTAAGTGAGACTGATGAATCAGATGACAATATTGAAGATACAATTATCGATACTGATGTCAGTAAGCGAATCATTAAAGAAAATAATAAAGACGTGGTGGAAACTGTCACAACAACGACTAAGAAAGAAACAATCAGGGTCAGTGACCTCAAAAAATTGATCCGAACAACAATCGAAACAAACGTTACCAAAGAACATCCTGACGGTTCACAGGATGTCCAGAAAAACGTTGAAGTTAAGACTGAAGAAATTATTTTAGATTCTAGCAGTAATTTAGATAACATTCTTAGCGAATTTGTAATTTGCGGTGAGCCTGAAGAAAGTGTTACATCCAAAACAGAAGATATTAAACAAGAAACCTTTACCATTAGACGTACAATTGTAACAAGAATAGTTAAAACGAAATACGCAAATACACAAGGTGTACCAAAAAAACTTAAGACTGACACAACTATTACTACAACAGATGATTATCCCGATGGATCATCTCGCACTAAAGTAGATAGTAGTACATCGCTGACCGATATTGAAGTAGAACCCGTAGAAAGTCTTGAACTCCAAGGCATGGTTTTAGTGGAAGACAAGTCAGTTGAAACTACTCAATGCGAAAAAAATATTACTATTGATGGAAAAAGTGCTGTGCAAATTGTAACTACCACTACAACAAAAGAAATTTTGAGTAATATTGATAGAACAAAGCGGAAACTCAAAACTACCGTAGAAACTGTAACAGAAACTATGCTTCCTGACGGTTCCACAGAAGTAACTAAGGATGTCAAAGTTTCTGTTTCAGATATCGGAATAGATGCTGTAGATGAAAGTCTCGAAGGCTTTGAATCAATTGGCAAACCCATGGAAGACACCACTACAGAAACCGAAACAGTAACCGAGAACGGTGCTATTATTAATCGAAAGACCACTGTTACTACGATTACACAAGAATATATTAATACGGCTGGGTCAGTTAAGCGCATCAAAACAACAGTCAGAACCTTGGTAGAAGACGAGCATCCAGATGGTTCTGTCATCAAGAAGACTAGTGAAAAAATAACATTAACGGACGAAAGTCTTGAAAAACCAAAAGAAGATACTGACAATACCGACAATGCAAGCATTGAGGAAATTCTCAGCAATCTTACTCCTTCAGAACCTGAAATCATGGAAGATGTTCAAACAGAGGAAATTACTGAAAATGAAATAAGAATACAAAGAACTATTGTTACTAAGATCATCAAAACAAAGTACTCTAACAGTCGTGGGGTTCCACACAAAATTAAAACAGAAACTATCGTAACAACAACTGATAAATATCCTGATGGCACAACAAAAACGACTGTCGATACAAGTGTCACAATTACAGACTTGAGCATCGAAGAACATCTAACACAGCAAAAATCATACGCAGAAGTAAATGAAATCACCAAAACGGAAGACAAGCCCTCAAAACCAGTTATTAACGGTGTGCATGAAAAACTTGGAATAGATAAACAGATATTAAGTAAACCCAAAGAAGCTGACAAATCTCCCACGGAAGAAGAAATACCAATACACGATGATGAAAGCTCTACAGAAAGCAACAAAATAGACTCTGCTCTAAAAGAATTTAGTCCGGTAGGTAAACCTGAAATAAGTGAATCTAGCGAGTCTATTGATATTAAAGAGAAAGACATAACCATTAAGAGAACTATTGTAACTAAAGTAATTAAAACGAAATACTCTGATAAACAAGGCAATCTCAGAAAACTGAAGACTGTAACGATACTGACCACAACTGACAAGTATCCAGATGGATCAGCTCGTACAGTAGTTGATAGTAGTACTTCTGTTACCGATATCGAAGTTGAATCTGCAGATGACATTAAAGGTTTTGATCCTATTGGAGAACCAATCGAAGACACCACTACTGAGACCAAAACTGTAACCGAGGACGGTGTTATTATAAAAAGGAAAATCACCATCACAACAACTGTCCAAGAGTATACTAACAGAGAACAAAACATAAAACGAACTAAAACAATAGTAAGGACAGTAGTAGAAGATGAACATCCCGACGGTTCTGTTGTTACTAGAGCTAGTGAAAAAATCTCACTCGTAGATGAAACTCTAAAGGCTCCCGAACCTACTGCTGAAGAACAGGCTGAAATGAAAAAGTTAGAAGCTGCGCTTAAAGACTTATTACCATCAGGTGAGCCTGAAGTAAGTGAAGATACAGACATCGAGGAAATTAAGGAAGATGGAATACCAATAAAAAGAATAATAGTCACTAAAATTGTTAAGACAAAATATATGGATAGCCAAAGTGTTCTCAGGAAACTAAAGACAGTAAAAACTGTTACAACAACAGATGAATATCCTGACGGTGCTGCTAAGACAACTGTAGATACTAGTACATCAATCTCTGAAATTAAGGATGACCAAAAAGAAGTCTCAAGTCAGCATGTCGCAGGCTATGAACAAGTTGGTGATGTACAAATTAATGTAGAAACTAAGCATAATTTGATAAATAGAGATGGAAAAGAACTTCAACAAATAATTACAATTAAGACAACCAAAGAAATTCTTGAATCACAACAGGGAAATAAAAAAGTAAGAACTACTATAGAAACTGAGAGTCAAGTTGCACTACCCGATGGGAATACAGAAATCACAAGAGATAAGAAAGTAACTCTTGACGATTATAAATCAGAAACATTCTATGAAAATCTTGTAGGTTACATTGAAATTGACAAACCAAAAGAATCCGTGCAAACTACAGAAGATTCTATTACAGAAAATGGTGTCATGATTATTAGGAAAACTAAAGTGATTACGACCTCACAAGAATTCGAAAACAGTTTAACACGTTCTAGGAAGATTAAAACGACAATCAAAACCGAAACAGAAGATGAATATCCTGACGGAACTGTGATAACTAAAAAGAGAGTAACTGTTACAATTACTGATGTGACCGGTCATTCATATCAAGGACAAGAAGACGTTCCAGAACGACCGGATGACTTACCTATTAGTGATACAGAAATTGTTGAAAGTATGACCGAAGATTTGGACGTCAAAAACGAAATATTACAACGAGGAACTGTAACAATAAAGCGCAAAATCACAATAGCGACAAAACGAGAATTCTTGGCTAGCAACGATGTGAATATTAAACGCGTACGAACAACTGTTGAAACTACAACGGTAGATGAATTCCCTGATGGTGCAACAGAAACAACAAAAGATGTAAAGATAACTATCTCAGAATTCCAGAAGACATCAGACAGTGATTTACAGGCTGCATTGCAAGGATTAGAACCAACGGGTAAAGTTAAGACATCTGTTGATAAAAAGACTAATATTATGAAATCCGATCAGGGTGAAAAAATTACCCAGACCATCACAACAAACGTCACCAAGGAAGAACTTTGCCATTCTAAAACGAACGACGTTGCTGTAAAAACAGTGACAGAAACAATAACCGAAAATGCTAAAGACGATGGCACAGTGGAAACAACGAAAGATGTTCGCACACAAATCACTTATTTACCTCCAGGAACTGGGCTTGATGATTGGTCTCCAGAGGAACTCGAAGAAATAGAAAAGCAACCTATTGCTCAAGAGGAAAGGCAAATTGTGGACGATATACCTATACACGCCACTCCAAAACCAGCTGATATAAAAGATAAGCCAGAAGCTAAGCCTAAAAAACAACGCTCACCAGTTGGAGAAATAACTACTGACACGGAGACTTATACCAAAGTTATTAAGGAAGGAGACAATGAAATTACACAAACCATCACTGTAGTCACAACCAAAGAAGTAATTAGTCCTGAAAAAATCAAGATAACCGTTGAAACCACCACAGTTAGTAAAGGAAGCGACGGTGTCACCAAGACCACAAAATCTACAAAAACCACTATTTCTGAATTTCGGGAAGAATATGAAGAGACTGTAGACACTGGTGAAAGTGAAAAATCATTCTCCAAACTCTCTTCAAAAACTGGAGATATGCGCAGTTCATCAGCTGCGAGTGATGACTTGGATCATCCCGGTATATCCTCACCACCATCAGATATTAGCTCAAGAGGGTCTAGAGCTGCTACTCATATTTGGGGCACAGAAAGCAGTGGAATGTATTACAGCGACGAAGATGGTCAGGGTAGCCCTAGTAGTACAAAGTCTCAAATTGCGCATTCTCCAAGATCAAATCTTAGCTTTGATTTAGACACAGCTAAATCTCAACATGAACCAGACCCGATGTCAACTTCAATTTATGGGCAACTTCCTGAGGATGACTCTTATAAATCTTCATCACATTCTGAAGTTACGACGACTGAGTTACTAAAAAGCTCGGCACGAAAGATGACAGAAGAGTTTTTAACAAAAGAAAGAACGGATCATCAAAAACATAGCGATGCTACCTTCTTGAAAGAAGCTGATGAACATTTTGAGAAAGCAATTGAAGAGCATAAGAAGGTTAGCGGATCCCAGGTAATTTCAAATATAACAGCAAAATATGAACTTGACTCGAAATACCACTCTAGTTCAAGTCACTCTTCCAAAGAAGAAAGTAAAATTACATTAAAGGATATTAAATCGGAAACTAAAAAAGTAACAGAAAGCAGTTCATCAAGCAAACAGGAAACAAAATACGAAAAATCTGAAGTTACCAGTGAAACAAGTAAACCATCGAAAGATCCAATCGAGTCTTGGGGTAAGCCACTAGGTCTGCCGAGTCCGATCGGACCACCAATGCAGGCAGATGGCAAGAGCACTCCTAAAAAGCAAGCAAGTTCAACAGTATTGAATAAAAATAAAATCAATCAGGAGAAGAGCAAAGAAGCGAAGAGTCGCGCATCAGAGTCTCCTAGCAAGAAGAAAGCTCCCGCACCTGTGTACATGGAGCTGACGTATGTTCCACATCATGGCAACTCATACTATTCAGCAATTGAATTCTTCAAACGAGTCCGGGCACGCTACTACGTGTTCTCCGGGACAGAGCCATCGAAGGAAATCTATAACGCCCTGCTCGATGCCAAGAAGACATGGGAAGATAAAGATTTAGGTAAGACGATTCAACTCATCATTTTTCATCTATTTGGTAACCAAGAGAAATTACTGAAGCCAAGCTAGCATGTTTTAAACTTCTACTTCAGTTGTAAAGTACCAATTAATCGCTTCTTACTCTTTGTTTGTGATCATTACAGAAGTCACCATAATCCCAACGTATGACACCGACGTCCTTGGCTACTGGGTAACAGAGAATGAGGAAGCTCTGGAGAAATACAAGATCGACCTGTCGCCGTCTGCGTCACGGTGCACCATCAATCTACAGGATCATGAGACATCGTGTGCGGCCTATAGACTCGAGTTCTAGGTTTCGGGTCTATTTGTAGCCTTCTCATCGAAGAAGTGAGCCCCTTCCGCGGAGTCGACGCTTATGAACCGAATGAACCAAAGAAAAGTGTAATTGTTGTTGTAGAAAAAAAAAGGCTGTGATAATGAAAGAAGTGCTTGTAAGCTTTGACTCCTGTGGCCACTCCTTCGTGTGAGAGCGTTTGCAAATAGATGTCGAGTTTTTGTGATATTTGAATGCAATTAACAGACTGCTAAAGAGTTTGATAAAATCTTAGTTATTAATGAACGTAACGATAACCAATGCGATAACGAAAGTGCTGGTGTCAATGTGTTGTGCTACCCACGGCCGAGTCGTAACTCCCAAACTGACAGTGTCCTGACCGCATCCAATTGTAAAGTCAATAACCAATTCTCGACCTAAGAACAGAGACGTCCATTTTTTTCTAAAATACAACTGTTTTCTAGTAGCTCGCCATTTAAAATATATTTCTGATGATGTTTTAAAATTTGGTCTTATACAAAACTGTAGTGCTTTTATACACGATATTTAGCGTAACCAGTCCATTTTGTTTAGCCAAACACCGCTTTGCGATCAAAATTTTTGGGGGGATGTTAAAGAGAAATTATTTTGCTATGGCCATTTGTAATTTACTAATGTACAAAATGTCTTAGCGGCAATTCTTTTATTTAGCGTAGTCGCTTAAAAAGGACGTGATTAACAAATGAATGTCATTGTAACTGACGCCAACGTAAACCTGATGGTACTTTTTTTAAAGGTTTAAATAAAGATATAATATAAACGATTGTCTTAAAAAGACATTCTTAAATGTAAAGCCGCTCGTCGAGGCTAGTGCTGCGTGCGCTAGTGTGTATTAATATTTGTTAGATGAGACTTATTATTACGACTCTAGAACGACAAAGATGACTTCTCGTGACAGCCTGTACCTCGTAAGTAATCCAGTTAGATATAAGGAGTGACGTTTTTCACATTTATTTTGAACTCGAGCTTATTTCCCTGCAACTTTAAACAGACGAGTGGTAGCGACCGACGACGGTGATTATTAAAAGGGCACGCGTTGTCGTCGATTTCAAATGTCATCACGCTAATGAAATTTATCTTCTAAGCTATTTTAAAATACGTTGCGCATAATATCACCAGCTAAAGCAACATTGCATTATCGCGACAACCTTAGCGTCCGACTTCAAGAGAATGATATAAAGTTTTAGACACAGTTACAATTATGATGGAAGAATCCTGCAACTTCAATATTAATTGGATGTGTGTCTAATACATTTATATTTACGTTGAAGTGCAAACTTCGATCGTTCGCTACCACGCAACTGAAGACATCTGTGTTATTCTAGACCAACAGTGAGCCTAAAACGATAGAGAGCTTAACCATTATAAATAATAAATGTTTTAGTAGAAAAAGTATAATTAAAGAATTCATTATATTTACCTCTGTTTAAGTTGATACTTGCTTGTTGCGTCGAGGTCTAGTAATATAACATAGTTATAATTACGTGTTATATAAATTTAACTCATTTCCAAAAGATAATTATTATTATTCAAGTGAAGAGATTGTCGAATCTCTGTTTCTGTTACGTTGGCATCTATATCCATATATATATATTAATATATAATATTTTCGGTCTGTTGTAATTTTGTTTGAAATTTCTAGTCGTGGCGACCCAAATACTTATAAAATCGTTATAGTCTTTATAAATTCGTTCCTATTCAGATGAATTGTTTTTAAGCATTTTTGTAATAATATAATTGTTTTGACGAAGATGAAATCCTCATGTATTATAGATAAATATCCTCTCCATTAGATTTCCGATTTGTTTCCAAGTGTTATGTTCGGATGTGAGCGAATGTGATAATGATCCATAAATGATTCAGCATATAGCGTGTAAGCAGTGTTCGAGGCTTTCCTCCGACACACGGCAGGCGAGCATGTTCCCTTCAATTTATTTAACATCTTATTGATAACAATGCTCACTTGCTTGTGTTTCCACAATTAAGTTGTCCTTATTTGCCAAATATATCCAATGAAAATGTTTGAGTCAATTAATTTTAAGTCATCCATAGATATAAGTGGATTAATGTCACACAACAACCGCTTACTTCGCCAACATTTCTTATTAAATATAGAAAAAATAATAGCGAAAACAATTCGTACTCTGATCGCACCAGCACAATGTAATAACATAAAAAATAAAACTTTAAAAAATTGTAAACGAATACATAAAGAATACATTTTTTTTTTATTTATTTAATTTTTTATGTATGTCAACGAATGAGTTTTTTATTTTATAGTTTAAAATTACATGATTAATATAGTATGTGTTTCTGTGTGTGGATTGATGTGAGCACAATATTGTTTCATTATGTGGTTTATGCTTTAGGTAGTTTGGATGGGACTAAACAGGGATGTGAGGAATACCTTGTGGAATGAGATCAGAACCGATGCTACTTCTGTCGACCACCATTGGCTTTCCCAGTCAATTCTATTACAAGCAGCGCTTCTTCAACAATACGTTGCACAAATATCAACATTATTTTATAGTTTGTCTACGACACAACTTTAAAATAATGTAAATATTCGCCAAGTTAACTATTTATAAATCTTAAGAGTACATCGGTGATGATGATTTTAGCTTCGAACAAAATGAGATTTTGAATATTCTTTCTTTTTTTTTTGAAATAGGCTTTGTTATGTTCAGCCGGCATCCACTGTCTAGCTGGCTGTAAAGCCTGACTCTAAAGTTTACTATTGTATTTTATAGCTAGAATTCTAATTAATGCATATTATTAGGAATATTAAAAATGTTATTAAAATTAAGAATTGTATCAGCTTAGTGAACATCAATAGCTCTGAGAATTAATAAACCATTATTGAAATTATTAAATGTTGTATTCTTCCAAATGTGGGTTAAATATGTTTAGTTGTGTGATGGATTAAGTTGTCCTCGTTGGGTGACAGCAGTGACGCGGGTTTAAACTTAAGCTTGTGTATATTACCTCGAATAGACATTGAATAAAAATCTGAACAATTTGCCAACGTAGAACCTGCTTTACCTCATGTCTTTGGACACTTAGATTATTATATATAAGATACACATATTATATATAAGACAATGAATGCTATATACAAAAAGGTACACCGTATGACTGTGTGTCATTATTCAATAATACATACTTTAATTTATGAGGAGGAATTTGGTGTGTGCGAGAGGCTGAGAGCTTGGCTTGAAAAGGATTTTTAAGATTGAAATAATAACATCGATTTAGAAATGAAATTGAAGATGGATTTGTTATAGATAGTTAACAATGCGAGTTTGTCGCTTTTGATATAGAGCGTGTTCCAAATAAAACACGTTTCTTTTCACGTCTAAACTACAACTTAAATATAGGTACATGAACATTTTAGACAAAAAAAATAAAACGTTTATTTACATAGAAATGACGTCACGCTCTATTTTGAGAAAGCGACAGTGAATGCTTATGTGGTGCTAGTGACCAACGCGTTGATATTTCGTATTGAATTGACGCACCCTGTAAATGATGAGGGTGGAAGTTATAAAACGAAATGTTTAGAGGAATAAAAATCTTTGGCATTTTCAGTATTATTCTTTTAAAAAGAATGACAGAATGAAACTTGAAAAAAGCCTTACTCTACCAATTTTTTAAAAGCATCCTATTATTATACCACATTAATTTTAAACACCATATAATCTGTTGCTTTATAAGTTGCTGTTTGATATAGAGCGGCGGCCTTTTTTGAAAAAATAAGTAACATAAAAATTATATTGACATTCCACGTTGGCTATATTTACCGTCTAAGTTAGAATAAATATAACAGTAATCACTGATCCAAAATCATGTTTATACAATTTTAAAAAACGAAGCTGCCATAGTAATGGCGGCTCAAAGACATGGCCATAGACTATTGTCTTGTGAACATAACCGTCCAATCTATGTAACTTACAGAAATCAAGGATCACACATGCAAAAAAAGTAACGTTGTCGCTAGTTGTAGAGGGCGCTGCTGTCGTATTAAGACCGTTTTCAAAGGTGACAATTTATTTTCAAATTTGATTTGATTTGAATTGCTCTTTTTAAAAGTCTAAAAACTTTACACTCCGTAAAGTTTTTAGACTTTATAGTTACTTTAAAAATATTTAATTTTGTGTGAAATTATCTTCCACTTTCATTGTTTATGGGGTGCGCACACGCTTAGTGGTAAGTAAGACTGACAAGATGTATGTTTAACAGCTAAGTTGGGCTTCGAATCCGTTGCAAGGTAAACGCTGTATACGCCTGTAATTATATTGTTATTTGTTAAAGAAATATTGGTTTTGGTAAGAATTTCAGTGCATGCTATATAGATCTTTTAAAATGAAATACAATAATCATATTTTTTAATATCTCAAACTGTATAAAATCACTCATATTTTAATGATATCGCTGTCCTTTACTGACAGTGAACATAAGAAAGAGATGGCAAGATTGTGTCTTCATTTGTTATTAATACCTGCAAAATAATCCGTTCAAACGATTTCGAATTTTAAAATGCTTCTCGTTACCGTCAGTGCTATTATTGCACTTATTTCAATAACATTTGAATTCAAAATCACTTGGCGTCGCAAATACATTATGTTATGAAGATAATATCTTGCTTACTCTTCCTTAAACAAAAGAGATACTTTAAAAGTTTCTATTAAGCGAAACTAACACTTATGAACACTACATTTAAAATGCTTTATCGCATGCACTGAAATAACTTGGAACGCTTGCTTGCTTCTCTAAAAACCTGCCAATCAGAAATGTTTAATAATTTAAATAATGTTAACCCTTAAGGGAGTTAGGTGCATAATTATTTATAATTATAATTATGTAATAATAGATATCATTATATTTATCATTGTATCGATCACATTGCTATAACCCATACGGAGTGTTTGGTGTTAATGTATGAATCATTACAAGTAATAAAAATGTTTGAAAATGTATTCAGTTTTTATTGTCTTTGTTTGAAGGGAACCCTCCCAAGACTTGTCCCCGCCCTTGTATATGGAGCGAAAGGGTGTACTAGACTGACTGCACGGTTGATGCGGTGACTGGGCAACTGGCTGCCGTGTCGCGAAATCAATTCTCGCACGGAACAACTCTTAGTGTGATCCACAAAATCGTTGTTCCGGGTATGGGCGTGATGTGTAATGTATAATAAAAAAAACTGTATGTTTGTAACCGCAGCCACGATACAGGAGAAAATCCTAGGGTAGGGCAACTTTAAAAAAAAGAAAAGATTGTTACTGACTAAATACTGCTTATTCATCATTGCGCTGCACTTGGAACCCCGGCTGATCCTCGAAGTTAGTGGGCTCCATCTATGGTGCTCTGATAATTTCTTGCGGAAGGCGACCATGAGCGTCAAAGTCAAAAGTCAAAGTCAAGTAACGGGATAATGACATTTTCGTGCATATAGCCTGTAGAATCGCATTATTAGATATTGTAACGTCAAAAAATTTGAGAACCGATGAACGCATATTATTTTTGTATTTGATCCGATTCGAAAAACGAATCCGAGACCTCATTATAACAATTGGCACAAGTCAAATAAAAAAACATATTCAATAAATTTAAAAACATTTAATAACAGCACAGTTTTTTTTTTAAATTTAAATGCATTATTTAAAAATAAATTAGAACGAATGAAATATTTTTATACTCGTATACAATAGTAGTTGGTGGCTTATAACTAGAAAATATTAAAATAGGCTATAATCAGAGAAAAACAAATGAAGCAACAACTTAAATAAAATTATACAATGTGTAGTTTCTTAACAATGAAAGGAATTATGCAAACCGGTCAAGTAGTTTCAGAGAATATTCAATTCAAACAAACAAACAATTAATTATTTGTTCTTTATAATATCATTAAGCTTTTTATTACTATAAAGGGCAGCAGAGGTATACTTTACCTATAGTTTTATACTTACTACTTTAACAATTATTATTATTTTTCCTATTCACTTGTAACAAATCAATCAGTTTGAATTTAAACTCTATGCTCATACCTTATTACGGATTTATCTTAAATCTAGATTTAAACCATTGAGTCAGATTTTGTATTTTGAATGTTATTCTCACTTTCAATTTGAATTACAAAAAACAGCTCAATGGGTTAGACCTAGACTAAAGAATAACCTAGTTTTGTTAAAAGTCGTGTGTATTAAAAAATATTTTTTAGACTTCTTTGAAAAAGGTTTATTATATTTTTTGCTGGCTGAATATTCTCATCCGAAGCTTCCTACCCCGAAATCAAATTACAACACAACCAATTATATAGTGAGTTATGACATGTTTATGTTTTATAAATATAAATAAATAATTATTCTAATCTATATAACATTTCCATTAATCGTAAAACAATCTCAAAATGGTTTATTATTTAATTACAATATAAAATTAGATTCAAACTTACATTCCCTATTAATTTATCTAGTAATAGTTTATCTACCATTTAATAGCTGGTTCTCTATTTAAATATTTTACAAGCAAAATATATAAATACTTAACATATGCATGGACATATAATGCAGCATATATATAACATTATTTTTATAACTTAAAATAAACTTATTAGGCCTGATTTTTCAATAGTCAGTTTTTCTAACAAAATTGTTGCTGTCACTGTCTTATACAAACATTCTGACGCGACAGCATCATAATTATTCCCCAGATAACTTTTATTCAGCCATTGAAAAATCAGCCCTATAATACGTTAATATCTATGGAATGATATTTCACAACACGGCACACACGGCATCTAGATTCTTAATAATACCAAAGGCATTTGACACAGCCAGAAAAATACTAAAATACCTTCAATAATTGTAATGAAAATATGATATAAGTCGGCAATCGAGCGGACGGATTACCTGACGGTAAGCAATCAGCGCCGCCCGTGGACAGCCGCAACATCAGACGAGTCACGAGTGCGTTGCCGGTCTTTTATAGAGATAAGGGTTTCGTGTATTTAAAAATGGGAAAGTCTGAACAATTTTGTTATATTGGATTTCAATTTGGCACCCATTGAACCCTACCTGGATCCGCCCCTGTACTTTGTTTTAATAATCGGCATGACTCTTAAAAACATTACATATTGTTTATATAAAAATAAAATATGTCTACAAGAAATATCTCGTCTGTAACTAACTAAACTAAAAATCTAAACCTTTGGAATGTTGATGTGATCACAATATTATTTTAAACTTTAATTTAATTTACGTAGGCACGAAATTACGTATTTACAATATAGTACCTAGTCGTTCAAAACTTACTAAATAATATCTAATAAAAGAGATAATAATATTACAATAATTACTCTTTACTCTATGGACGCCAAACTAATAAAAACAATGACTCAACATTTTTTTTAAATTTTCTTCTTAAAGATTTTTTCCTATTTTTTTTAACGAAAATTTCAAAAGACTACCAAAAAGTTTGGCTCATTCAATCGGCATTTTTTTTAATTGCTTTTTCGGTAATATTGGTCTGAAGTAACGTTCTACTTATTACAGATTCGTTTTGTTATTACATTAGTTCTATTGTTCCTACTGTGTGGTTTGTTTAACGCAATCAAATACATTTATAATAAAGTATACTTCAAGCTTACATTATTATTACAGCTGCAAACTTCTTATTTTACTTCAAGGCAGTGTAAACACAACACTTTTAATTGCTATCCAATATTGAATATAATAAAAGCAATTTTGTTCTTTGTAGGTAATATTTTTTTCTGAAGAAATAAGTTGGCATGCTCTATCGTTGGTCACATTATCGTTTACTACCACGCGTGATAGCGGCCAAATATCTGGCCATTTCGAAATAAAAAAAGTCAATTTTGGTGCAACCTTCATTTGTATCGTAAATCTATTTTTTTGACATTCGATTGAAAAACAAATGAGTGTCATCACTCAAATCCACACCAAGCAGCAATTTATTTTAAACGTAGGTACCTATTTGTTTCTTAAGATATGCATAAATTCTGGTTTTAATTTATTTAAACTATTTATAATTTGGCTGAAATCGGCACATTGTACTTACTGTTTTATAATATATGACTTTCATAATATGTAGAAAATAATATTTTAAAAACGTATCACTGCCATATTATTCTTATGTTCATATTATCAACATCGTTCAAGAATAAAAGCAAATTTTATTACCTATTTTGGGTTTCAGACAGGGGTGGAAAAATAGAACATTTATATTACCTACCTATTAATAATACAATGAAAAAAAATCAATAAATATATAAGAAAAAAGTTTCAAGAATTAACGAAAGAGTTTCATTGACTTTGTTAAGATTTAAATAATATTACCGCAGGTCCCCACAGATCTACAATCCGCCCCTGTCATTTACATATATTTACATGATGAAAAAACACGACTTTTGCATTTTTTTATGGAAGACTAGAAATTGTAGTGTCTGTCACATAAACACTACTCAAGCAACATTTTAGTGGAAATATAATTAATATAAAATTGAACATTAGGTAAGTTCAATTCCGAGAGATGATCTCCGGCCACCGTAAGCGCGGGTCTGCGGACAGCGAGTAAGGGTAGGTCGCCGCCCGACCAGAACCAGACCCGAGCGTACGGCGCGTAGCGTTCCGCGCGCGCCTCAATGAGCCAATACACCACCACAGACGGGGCCCTATAGGGCTGATGTTCAGACGGGGTGGAGGGGTAAGCGCAATGAGGCACCGCGATCTCGGCCCAGAGCAGGAGAAGGAACAGGGGGACATTGGATGATTTTCCCCTGACAAAAAAAGTTATGTTCAATTCGAACCTGAACAGTAAACACTGCTTATTGTAAACAGCTACTCTTCTACTTTGGCATGTAATACAAGACTGTGGCCAAGGCATTTATTTTTTGCCATAAAATTATTTGAACCTCATGTCATCAGGTTTCCTAACAAAGTATGCTACTTTATCTATAGGTATTCTGTACTCGTGCATCCATCGGTTTCCTTTACGTAGAGATCCATCAATACCATCCTGCCATAGTCCAGTTGGGAGGTACACTGAAATAATAAAGAACATATAAGTCAGTTATGAATAAAATCTGTTATGTAATTTGGCAAATTCATTGACAAAAGATTTCTGTAAAGGGCAATTCCTCCGCTAGCGTGGCAAATGTATTATTTTATCCCCATGGCGTTCAACGTGTTAAACTGGTAACAATAATTGAGAATCGACATAAAAATAGTAACCATAGAATTTCTTTCTCTTTCTTTTCCTTCGGAATCCATACTTTGTAAAGAGCAAATAGCTTATAGACCGTCACATTTTTTATAATTGCTAGAATTCATAACTTTGGGTCAATATGTGTAACGACTTCTCCCTAAAAGGCCGGCAACGCACTCATACCTCCTTTGTGGTTGCGGGTGTTGATAGGCGGCGCTGATTGCTTACCATCAGGTAATCCGCCTGCTCGTTTACTGACCTATACCATAAAAAAAACTAATAATCTTTATAAAACTCTCAACAACTCACCGTCCCTAGTAGTTTGTCCACGTTCAAGTACGGGAGCGACTACTATATCACTTCCAATAGCGAACTCATCCCGCAGCGCACGTGGAGCGTCTCCAGCACCCAGCAGCCACAGCGGCCGGAGGAGTGGCAGACCAGCCTCTAGAGCTTCACGCTTGTACTTCAACAGTAGCGGTGTCACCTGTAAAAACAGAGATTTTACTACTAGGAGTAATTATAAATGATAATAATATCATGTCTTCTTGCCCATAAAAATCCATACCCATATCATATTTTTTTTTACCATATTGCAAAATAGTTCTGCATCAAGCGAAGATTGCCCTTAGGTGCACTTTAACAGTGCATAAAGGAATAATTGCTGGCTAATGTCCCATTACACTGATATTAAAGCTGTTTAAAGGGCCTCTGCGAGTTGGCTTCAGCTCCTCCTACGCCTACTAAAGGTCGGGGACCCTTTGGTCCCGTGAATGGAAACGAATAGCTATTTCTAATATAAGTTCACTGCTAAGTAGTAGTACTTTTAATCCTATTGATACAAATAAAAAGTGGTGTATCATATAATTAAGGTAAAGCCTAGAAGGCTTTACCCTGATTGGATTAATACCTTGGATCTGTTGCTTCTTGAAAATATTTTAAAATATCTTGCTATTGTTATTGAAGTCAATAAATTTCTTACCATTCTCTGTCGCAACGACGTCAGATTCTTTGCCACTTCCAATACTCTCTCGTCGTTATACTTGCTCGGAAGATGCGTGAACTTCATCACCGGCAGGAACGTTGCCATTTGCAGCCACCTCATGTACAACTCCTTATCTGGTAGCTCTATTCCATTCTCCTGCGTACTATTCGTAATGTCTACCATCCCTTTGGAGGATGGAAGGAACTGCTCACTTCCAGGCCAGTAAATATCTCCACCGACCGCCCCTGGCATTATGAAAGGAAATCCATTAACACCATACGTCAACATAGTCGGTATAACTAGCTTCAATGCTTCCCATGTAGACTCAAATGGTGGAAGAGATACAAAGATTGGAGGTCGGGGTAGTGACACCGCTGAAGACACTCCAATGATATTAAACATCTTCTCAAAGGTTTTAGTGAAAATCTTCTTGTATTGATCAGGATTGGTCAAAAGATGCTCGCAGCGGAAATAGTGAGGCATATCATAAGCTGTTCCCAAGTCCAAGAAGAAGGAATCAATGTGGTACTCGTCGATAACTGCCTGTAACTTATCCAAAAACCAAGGAACTGATCTGTTGTTTGTGATGTCCAATACTCCAGCGCTTGCTAAGGATTTGAACCGGGTTAAAGCTGGTATACGTCTGTCACTATTTCTTTCACTGATCAACAATCTCTTTTGGACACATTCTGCGAAGTTTTTGCTCTCAGTACTAATAAACGGTTGGATGGTAAAAGCTACTTTAAATCCCCGCCTGTGCAATTTATCTACAGTTGTATTCAACGTTTGGAATCGACTCGTGTCCACTGATAAATCACCAATAGCATTCTGCCAATGCTCATTGATCAGCACATGTCCCTGTTTCAGGAATCCTAGGTTGATGACATCTTCTGTGTATTTAGATATGGTTTCAGCTTGTAATTCTTCTTTAAATCTGGGAGCTATTTGCCAAACAGGCTCTGATATTAGAGATTCTAAGGTTTGCATATCTGCTGGTTTTAGGCCATCCCACAATGGAGCTCTTCGATGACTGTGGATCGAAGAATGTAATGACGCCATATCTTCTGATGTACAAATATTGTACTTCATTTCGGGGAATTCTGTTAGTTTATTGGGGTATGCAAATTCGTGGTACATAGCTTTAAGGCAGATGTGTTTCCCTCCTTTATTGACGGAGACATGAAGAGGTGTCTCGTCATCCACAATGATGGCTGCTCCCTTGGAGTTGATAAAGTATCGTGTAAGGACATTTCCCCATTGATTCTTTTGCATGTCTCCTGTGATGAAAGGGGTGTAATCTAATGAGCCGCTGTCCAACGGCCAGGTTAAGTTGGAGGACAGTCCACCTCCAAACCAGTGTACTTTCGTTGCTCCCCAGTCGAAACAATCATTTGGATAGACATCTGTAAAGAAATAGTTACATAATATTTATTAATTCTGCTCGGTCGGAGAATAGTATTTATGAAGTTTTAGGAGCTTTTGATATCCATTTAAATGGACTTACTTAAGGAGTTCAAGCTACTGACCAGATCTTAACGCCTTCCAGTGCACGGAGTAACAGGTGGTATTATCGACGCCAGGGTCATGTGGCAAGGACTTCAGGTAGAACCGAAGGGTATGCAGCCATTCTAAACATTCAGAGCCATCCTTGCGACGGTGTTCAGGTAAACACGGGTACGCTTTCATTTTGCCTTGGATGTTGACCGCTGAAAATAAATTTTAAATCTTGTAGAAATTACATATTATACAGTAAAGGCAAGAGGGCTTTCCTTCAGGCAGAATACAGTAACTTTTAGGTTATATTTAAGATAGTTTCTTGTACACTATGTAGATACAATTTTTTGCAAATACATAATTATTTTGATTTGATTAGTTATACGTAGATTTTTAGATTTCAAACTGTTTTAATAATAAATCATTACAAAAATGACAATATTTCATTTTAAAATAGGGATTTTTGTGTATCACGTAATAGATCATTTCCCTTACGTTACATCTAAAACTACAACATATAAATCACTAACCTAAACTAGCCCTAAGGATTTCGACATCATCCTTATTGTAAATGCGGATAAGTCTCTTCGGTTCGTTGAACTGCACGTTATCGAAGTAGGCCTTGGTGAGGGCCTGCTGATGGTAGAGGACGTATGCGAACCCGACGAAGAAGACAATGGCAAGGAACATGAGGCCCACGAAGGCCCGCAGCTTGTAGTCTGTCGGCTTCTTGCGGATTTTTTGAGGAATGCTCTGGAATTTTAAAAACTACTATGAGTTACTGTTAAGATTATTTTCGATTGTTGTGACACGTACTTTACTTAGACCAAATCATGTTAATCATGTGATGATTGAGGAAATTTCATTTTTTGACAATGGATAGATGGGCTTCAGACTTTTTCTTCTTCTAAATTTTATAATTGAAACTGAGTATTAATAAGATTTGACTGAAAACAAGAGCTAATTTTACTAGCGAATAATTAAGGTCAAGGTGGCAAGAGCAATAACCACAGTCCCGTCCTGTAGCAGAAGAAGGAATGATGTGACCTATGAGGTGGAGGAGAAAATGGTACCTACTCCCTCTTGCCCCACTTAGAGCGGGAGAAGTAATTTGATGAATTTCGCCCCTCAAGAAAAGAAGACAACAAAGTTCATGAAAACCATTTATTCCAACTAAACCATAAAGAGGTACTTTTGAAACGTCAAAATAGAATAGTAGTTTGTCAGTCTGTTCGTCAGTGAAGCTAGATGCTCGTTCCAAATTGTAGATTCGAATGGAGAAGAACGAACAAGAAACTCCATCGTTACTCTTTTTAACATTTGTTGACATTATCTTTATATATTTTTTCTTTTAATGTACCTGCAGCTTCTCTCTGAGTAGACTAGCAAGTGAGTTGACAGAAGTGACGGAGTTACTCGGAGAGTAGTCATCGTCGTCCATGCTGAACTCTGAGCGACCAAACCGTCGGGGGGCCGTCGACTTGCGACGTGGGGAGCGGAGGGGAGTCCTGGAATAAGAAATTAAATGTTTGAATATGCAGTAGACATTTCCTTTAATAAATTATTACTTTAGGACTAAAGACATAATTGTAGTCTTGAGCAAAATTTAGAGCAGTTAAAATCATAATGGGTGCTAAGTTTGGTAGAACCATGCTTCGGCACGAATCGTTCAGCTCGACCGGAGTGATACAACGGCATCACAGAAAGCCGGCGTGAAACAACCACAGCGTTGTGTTTCGCCGTGTGAGTGAGGCTACCGGAGAACCTAATCTTTCCCACCCCCAATCCCTAAATCCCAAAACCCTAATCCCCAAAAGGTTTGTAATGCACTCGTAACTCTGACGTTGTGGCGGGTGTCCAAGGGCAGCGCTGATTGCTTACCATCAGTTCATGCGTCTGCTCGTTTGAAGTCTTATAACAAAAACTAATGATAGATACCCACACGATTCATTTTCAGAAAAACAAAATACCGTGCTGGCATCTGATCCAAGTACTCAAATTAATTAAATACAACTTTATTGCAAGTAACATATAAGTATGTATATATCAATAAATATGTGTGTACACAACATTTCAATAAAAGCAAATGTCTTCATGTATAAATACACTTTTATAATAAAAAAACATTGAGAAAATTAATTACCTATATCTAAAGCAGCTTGAAAAACAATTTAATAATTACCAGAAACGCAAGAAACATCTTCATAATTTTAAACAAAACCCACAAACAATTAAAAAAAAACAAAGCGTAATCAAACTCACACGTTGTCAACGCGACAGTAAAAATCCTAAAATAAATAAAGCCATCAAAATATTTAAGATGTCGTCATATAATGGAAGACACTGACAAAACAAAGGAATGTGGGTAAAGTGTCGCCTGTCGCGGTAATGAGGAAACCAATTTACTCAGCTGTATCATTTGGTTAAGACTGCAACCGCTGCTCTCTCAAACCGTCCTTAGCAGATCTTTTTCGAATAAAATTCAAAGCCATTCATATTATAAAGAGGTAAAATTTGTAAGTTTGCATGTAGAGGGTAATCTTTGGAACCGCTGGTCGGATTTCCAAAATTCTTTAGCTGATGTCAAAGTCAAAGTCAAAGTCAAAATCATTTATTCCAACTAAACCATAAATAGGTACTTTTGAAACGTCAAAATAGAGAAGTAGTCTGTCAGTCTGTTCGTCAGTGAAGCTAAGTGCTCATTCCAAACTGTAGATTCGAATGGAGAAGAACGAGCAAGAAACTCATGATGGATAGCTACAATGTTCCTGAGTGCTATAGGCTACAAAACATCACGCTAGGAGTGAATGGAGCCGAGCAACGGGTGAAACCGCGGCAGAGTATCTAGTTTCAATTAAACCACTATTGGTACTTTTGAACGTCCATCAAATAAATATCAATAAGTTCAACTTTGTGTATGTCAGTTTGTTGAACTGTCAGACACAATCCTTCGCCTCCCCAATCCCTAAATCTCCCAAATCACTATACCCAAAAGGTCGGCAACGCACTCGTAACTCTTATGTCGTTGCGGGTGTCCACGGGCGGCGCTGATTGCTTACCATCAGGTAATCGATCTGACCGTTTGCCGACCTAGCACTTAAAAAAAACTGTTCTCTAGTGAAGCTATTGGCTCGTTCCAAAGTGTAGTTTTTTAATAATTTAATACAAACATTTACGTCTCGTTTTTGCATGCAATAATGTAGTTATTCCTGGAGAAGAAATTTGATGATGTACCCTTCTCAAAAAATAACCCTGGCGGTCGTAAGAGCCGATTAAGCAACACATTTAACAGAGAGCGGGCAGCAAAGCTGTTTTAAAAACCTGAACCTTTTGATTTCTAATTCTTCAGTCTTGGGCAAACCCTTCCTATGTAGAGAAAATCATGTTAATATCATTCGGTTGACACTTAACACCGTATTGTGTTGTATTATCAGTCTTCTTACTTTGTTTTTAAGTGTAGTGTAGTAATGTTCTCGACATTGGTGATAAGGGGTCAAATAACCGAGACGTGTCTTAAAGGTAATTAATTATAATTAACTGTGTATTTACGGAACTGATTGTTGTGTCTGGATTTGTGAGAATTTCTAATAAATAATTAATGTAGTATATTCGTGTTGAAAGTTTCGTAAGAATTATATGTCATGTTTGATGGCTTTTTTTGAGGGTAAAAATGTCATCACGTGACTGCCCTATCCCTGGGTAAGTAAAACACTACTCCTACCCATAGGTTCATACAATATTGTTTCAATGTTTTTATTATTTTGCTTTGACTATTCAGTTTTTCGGTCGATTGGTATCATATTTTATACACACTTCAAGAAACCAACTAAGGCAATTGGAGGCGTGATAATACTAGCTACGTAGGCACATTAGCCTAATCCTTCTCGGTAAAAATGGCGTAAAATGGTAGGAACCGTAAATAAATGGTAAATTGCATAGTTCTAAGATCATACGCCTGCCTACTCACCTACTTAAAACACTCGGATATTTGAGGAGATCACAAGACAAGGTGACTAAGTGAGGATGATAATCTCCACAGAAACGTTAGGATCAAAATGGCTTAAGCATCCTTTATTTTCAAGGTGAACTTTAAACCTAACGTGTGTATGTGGGAGAGCCATGCTTCGGTGCGAATGGGTCGGCTCGATCGGAGTGATACCACGGCCTCACAGAGTACTGGCGTGAAACAGCAAGCAGTAGCGCGATGTGTTCCAGCGTGTAAGTGCGGTTATCGGTGGCCTAATCATTCCCCCCATCCTCCACTCTCAATCCCCAAATCCCCAAATCCCCTTAACATAAATCCCTAATAACTTTCTACAATATCAGTAACACTGTGCATAGTCTTGTAAAGACAATTAATTGTTACTGTCTTAATAACGGTCTTTAATTAACTCGCTTACGATAAAAGGATCCCTAATAAACAATTTTCCTCCTTACTATTCTAAAAATCTTCATTCACAAGAATCTCCTCCCAACAAAAGCAATAGCAACAAAAACAGAATTGTCATAATTAGTTCAGGTGTTGTTGAGTTCTGCACATACCAACGTATTTTTCAATATGTTTTAGCAGATTTCGGGTCAGCTTGTTTTAGGTGTATAAAATTTTGTGTAATCTAAGCAACAGAAGTAAATCCTAATGCAGGGCAACATTTTATTAGCCAAATTTGAATTATTTTGAATCAGATATTCATATTTTTTGATACGGGTTTACAATAATCACGATAGGATGAGAAAAACTTGCCAATTTTAACAAAGATCAAATTAATTCGCCTTTTTATTTGAACTGTTTCTGTTTTAACAAAATTATCACAGTTTTACGACATGTTTAATTTAACTGTTTAAACTGGGTCACGGTTAACACTCATCTGGCTAACTGACATAAAAATGTATCATTTTTAGATCCTCTATCTATCTTAAGAACTGAAGAACTGATTGTCCGTCTTTAAAAGATTATCAACACTATTTGAGATTACGAATTATAGCAAGTACTGAGTTTAATTATTATAAGCTAGCTATCTATTATCACAGATGGGAAGGTAAAATACTGGCCCTGGTTTTTAAGGTTTCTGGTTTCTAAGATTATTAAGAAACCAGGTGAAAAAAGAAACACTTTTTTATGTATGTTAACTAGACAGATTACCTGACGGTACGCAACGAGCGCCGCCCATATGGATACTCGTAGCACCAAAGGAGTTACTACAAGAGCATTGCTGGCTTTTGTGGGTTAGATTGAGAATGAGAGGGAGGAGTGAAGAATTGGGCCTCTGGTAGCCTCACTCACAAAGCGAATCATAACGTCGGTTCTCTATGCAGCCGTGGTATCTCTCCGATCGAGCCGGCTCGTTCCTACCGAACGCTCTCCCACACTTAAAATTTATTTATTTGTCTTCTTGCATAGTGACTTGTGGTAGTGATACAGCCGGGATTGTGGGGTTGTGTAATGTACCGCGGCCCGGAACAGAAGAAGGAACGGTGCGGTTTTAGTCAGTAATAGTCTGATTTTCCCGTCCCAGCCAGGGTGGGAGCCGTAACTGGATTGGTTTCTGTCTCTCAAAAAATATCCAAAGAAATAATAGTATGACCTCTCAATGATATTAAGTGTATACTTATCAATGTGTTTACGCAAACATAACTATATAGGAAAAGTAACTTTGCATACAAAACATTAGCTACGCAATCGTATTTAATGTTATATACTATGCTTATGTCACTTTATATGTATGTATATAGGAACTAGGTTTCTGTATAAATAATAATTAACAGTTTTCTAAGCTGTAAAACTAATCCTACATCTCAACGTTAATTTATCCACTTAGGGCAGATTTTTCAATAGACAGATAAATGTTATCTGAAGAATAAAATTGTTGCTGTCGCTGTCTTATACAAACATTCTGACGAGACAACATCATACCTAATTATTCGCAAGATATCTTTTAAATAACCATTAAAAAATCAGCCCTTAATAATTAATTAGGTAATTAAATATCGTCTTAATTATCCTTTTTTCTTATTTTATACTATCATTAAAAAATCAGCCCTTAATAATTAATTAGGTAATTAAATATCGTCTGACTAGTCCTTTTTTCTTTATGGATAAGGGCCTGTAATACCTACAAATTCTTAATAACCGCTGTGAAATAGATAAATTTGAATATGGAACATGCAACTTGCATGAATTATGTACTCCTTTTGATACCACGGCCTCACAGAAAAGGAGAAACCGGCGAGAAACCATAGCGTTTTGTTTCGCCGTGTGAGTGAGGTTACCGGAGCACCAATTCTTGCCCTTCCCCAATCCCTAAATCTCAGAATCCCTAGCACCCAAAAGCACTCGTAACTCCTGTGTTGTTGCGGTAGTCTATGGGCGGCGCTGATGGCTTACCATCAGGTAATCTGCATGCACGTTTGCCGACTTATCTCAAATAACACTTTTTATCGGAAACGTAAGTTTTAAGTTTTTACATCTTATTATAAGTGTATATCTTATCTTTTTCTTTTTCATAGAGCTAGACAAGGCGTCGTCGCTCCAGTTCAATTTTCAAATACATAATTTGCAGTAAGTATAATTTTAATGTGTATTTTTTAACCAGTTCGCAGAAGAATATCGTTTAAATAATAAAACAAACAACTCTATTCCTAGAACGAAAGATTTAAAAAAAAAACTATTTTTTTAAACATAATAACATAATTAGCATAATAATATGCAAATTATTCTAAACGTTGATCCATTCGAGGTTTACTAATTTGACTATCAAAATAGTTGAAATAGAAAACAATCTAACGATATTCTTTAGTTTACTTACATAGAAAACAATCGAATATTCTTTTGGAGTTTTTATTTTACAAATATTGTCAAGTAAAGACATCGGTTGACCGTAATATGATCCTATGTTTTTGTAAATACGGATGCTAAGTGTCAATTTCTTTTTAAGGGATAACGCTGCAAATGCGTTCTCAGAACTGGTGGTAAGCAATCAGTGCCGCCCATGGACACCCGCAACAACAAAGGTGTTACGAGTGCGTTGCCGACCTTTAAGATATTCTGCTGCTTTAAGATATATGCTCCTTCTGCATGTATAGTAAAACCGACTAAGACATCTTTGACAGAGATTTGGCAAAAACACTCTCTAACAAACCCGAACCTTTTAAACTAGTATCTCTAACCCATATGAAGATTAAAGCAACCGTCTTATATAGAGGAGATGTCAATAGCTATTACTGGACTTCAGACATCTTCTACATCAGTCTGTCAGAGAGCAAGCAATAAGGAACATGGTAAACTTTGCTCTTTAAACCTATCAAAAGCTTTCTTCGTTAATGGTATGACTGACATAAATTTAGATGTACTAAAAAAAAGAAAATAACTACAATCAGTACAATAAATATAGGTACGCTCAACGCGCATCACCAAAGAAAGTCCATTACAACACACCCAGAACTTTCTTTACAAACAAAATACAGAATTAAAAAAAATAAAATAAAACTGAAATATCTATACCTTTTTCTATACTTCCACTGACACAAAAAATCCTTTTTCAAAATTCAAATATGAACACAGCACACAACACAAGGCAAGTTATTAAAAAAAAGACAAGAAAATAATGTTCTGTTTTTAAAAGTTGCGCAGGAGTGGTTTGTGGACGCGCACGAGCGATACTGGCCGGTGAGATGCGCGTCGAACGCACGCGCTTAACTGGAGTGCGTATTTTAATTGACGCGTTTAAGTTGTCATGTTGTAAGGCGAGCTATGATTTATAGAGAAAGTGTTTTAAGAACTTATTGGTCCTTGTCGCTTCCTTACTACTTTTATCCAACTAGCATTTATTATAGCAATAGTAGAATTAAATGTAGGAGATCCATGTTGCGGTCGTGGTACGAGCCTGTTCGACTGGAGTTATACCACGGCTTCACAGGAAACCGTCGTGACACAAGGCTTGCGTTGTGTTTGAGTCAGATAGCCGAAACCCTCATCCCCATATCTGTACACCAAAGTCTCTTATGCCCAATTATGATCGTCAACGCACTTGGAACTCTAGGATTGCTATTGTCCATGGGCAAAGCTTCATCAACTACCCAAGACAAGCGTGACATAATACTTATCAGATTAGCCTATGATAGTCCAAAAGTCTATCATAATTTATTGATCTTATCGTAATTTTCGAAGATCCTGAACTGATAGAATTATTTTGATAGTTTTGTGATTTAAGCAACTTTATTGCAATTAAGTATCTATTTATTAGTAGTAGTGTAATGTTAATTTATAATTATTATAATTGTAATCATGATTCTAAATTGTATTTTTTCTATTTGTCTATTTCTTGTTCATATCGATGTTATTTGTGACCTTGATGCCTGACTATAAAGATATTTTTTTTTTATTAAAAACCATTATCCACTACAAAATGCGCGATTACATTTTGAAAATTCTTCAATGCCCTATCTTGTGCGAGAGAGTGTCAGACTCTTACTGACTAAAATCCACCCCGTTCCTTCTCCTTCTCTGCTGCTGCCTATAATCTCTGCCAGGAAGCCTAAGTAACTAAAATACATTCCAATAATGAACGGAAATCCAAGTTTGTAACGACATATTATACATTCATTATGTAAGTATGTTAATACCTAACTATAATTATAATTGAGTCATTCAACCATCTTTTAAATATTCATTCATACTGGGCTATTAACACGATTGTTGAACATTAAGAATTAATAAACGTTATTTAATATGTAGCAACATAAATATTTCTCACAAAACTCATAGTAAGTAGATGAATATTCTAGAACAAATATTGGAATTTATTTATTTATTATTTTTTACAGATAATTCGCCAGGCTTCTTTGAGGCCGTGGTATCTTCTTGGACGCCAGTCGATATAGGAAAGAGTAGCTCTCTAACATTTAACTTGTCGCAACATATTTGTAGGGTCTTTACGTGTCTTTTAGATGAAGGATAATGATTTACAAGGTGATAGTAAACAACTTTGCTTACAAACTTAAATAAACTAAGCTTAAGATATTTCATTAAATTGAGTCCGGACGGCTGGCGAAGACCCTCTGCTGGTTGTGGTGATGGTAGGGCGACCCGCAGCTGTGGCAATGGGAGCTACATAGCTCACGCTAGCTTCTGCCTGCTCCGTTGTTGTCTCTACTTGCTCAGCTGCCGGAGGTGCAAGCGCAGGACGCGGCTGGCACGCTCGCATGCGTTGCCATGCGTACAGAATGATGCAAACCACGACGACTCCAACCAAGGTGTAGATGGCGACATAATGGTGAATGTCATGGAATGTCACTTGATCTTCCAGCTCCTGATTGGATTTCATTTCTTTGAGTGTTTTCTCAATCGCCTTTATGTCTTCCTGTTGTTTGATGATATCGTCTGTCTCGTTCAGTGGAGCGATGAAAGGTATCGACAGATTAATTAAGTTATTTATTGGTGGAATTTCTATGTTCATGACATCGATCTTTGTTTTAATTGTATTTGATAACGATTTGTGTGCATAAATCGTAAACATTCTGTCTTTGATGACGCAACTGTCTCCCATAGTAATGACACCTGATTTGCTGAGTTGCTCGATCGTAATATTGTTATCGCATATGACTCGTACGCTGCATTGTCCACAACAAAAGTATAGATATGAATTAATTAAATTCAAATCAGTCCACTTACTGTTATACTATTATTAAGTTATGTAAACACCAATATCGTCAAATCAATGAATGAAAATATGATTCTATTTTAATAATTTGTTGTATTGAAGAATGTTATTTTTGCTCTAGGAAATATTAGTATAGATTAGTCATTTTGGTATAACAAGAATAGTCAGAAAATTGTTATCATGTGTTATATCATTATTTACTTCTTGTTGTGCTAGTTACATACAAACTGTTATGATAATACTGAGTCGATAAATGTTTGCCGCATGCTCCAAATTCCGTGACCTGTGTAGGTCACAATCTTTACTACAAAATTAATTACGTATTTATGTATTGTTTTAATATATTTACATAAAATAAGTCAGTAATATCATGCTAGCGTTGTCATTAATATAGACACGCACCTAGAAGTACTTGCGCAGTCGCCAGCAGTTCAACATATACCATTCCGTCAATCTTATTACGACTTTATACCATAAAAATATTTTTGAATTTCTAATGATGGCATTTGGAATATAAAGAGTGAGTTGACTTGCTGGCCCATAATCACTAAGTACAATTTGTGCCAAGCTACACGTTAGCTGCCTTATGAATAATTTAGCTGAAATTAAAACTCCCTAATGGTAAGCAACCGGTGCCCTTGATGGAGTGACACTGATAAGTTACAAATACGTTGACGGCCTTTTAGGGGTTAGGGATTTGTAAATTACAGTCATTCACACCGTGAAACACAACGCAAGCATTTTTTCACGATCTCTAGCCACACGTAAAGGTAGCTCGCCACGAGACCAGAACCAGATCCGAGCGTACGCGCGCCTCAAAGAGCCAATAGACCACGACACATAAACCCTACAGGGCTGATGTTCAGCCGGGGTTGTGTAGCTATCGCAATAGGATCCTCGAGCATGGGAACAAATGTGGTGGTTTTTAGTCATTAAGGGTCTGACACTTTCTCCCCCCTCATCCTGGGTGAAAGAAGTCACATGATAATTTTCCCTTCACAAAAAAAGCATTCTTTTATGTCGATTTTTTGTTTCTCACTCTAGTTAAGCCAGTCCATTTGTACCAAAGCATGGCTCTTCTACACTTAAATTATTCTCATTCTTAAATTAAATCATTCATCTCTATAAGACAGTTGTAATAACAATTAGCTCACTAGAACATTCAGTTGACAATCACGATAAAAATATACGATGTCTTAAGATTATTTAATTGATAATACCCCCATTGTAAAGCATAATCTTATTACATTCTTACGATTAAGAATACCTATAAATATATATATCAGTAAGAATAAGTGTGGGGGATCCCTATATCCCTATCCCTAGATAAGACCGGAGTGATACCATGGCCTCGCAGAAAACCAGCTTGAAACAACCATAGCGTTGCGTTTCACCGTGTGAGTGATGTTACCGGAGGCCCAATCCTTCCCCTCTACCAATCCCTCCTAAATCCCTAAATCTTCAAATCCCTAATCCCTAAAAGGTCGGCAACGCACTCGTAAATCCTCCGTTGCTGGTGTCCATGCGCGGCGCTGATTGCTTACCATCAGGTAATCCGTCAGCTCGTTTGCCGACCTATCACATAAAATAAAATAAAAAATGGCCTCACAGAAAACCGGCGTGAAACCACCATAGCCGTGAAACAATCTTTCGTCGTGTGAGTGAGGTTATCGGAGGCCCGATCCTGCCTCTCTCCCCATCTCTTCCCAATTACTGAATCTCCGGAATCGTAACTCCTCTGATATTACGGGTGCTAATGGGCGGCGCCGATTGCTTACCATCAGGTAATCCGTCTGCTCGTTTGCCGACCTATCACATAAAAAACTCACGGTGTTTGTAAACGTTCATGAGTATTATCTGAAATTTGAGATAGTTACAAGTTGAATGAATGTTTTGAAGTTGTAACTATCAACAACGCATCGATTACATTGACTTCACTGATTCATTGGTTCACATTTGGTAATTCAGTCTCTTCAAAATAACTTATAGAGTACAAAGGCTTTGGTTACCTGTTTGAAATTAGAAGGCCTGATAGGTTTGTCATCATCATCCGATGTTTGCCTTCTGCTGAGCAAAAGTTTCTTCTCGTACGAAAAAAGTTAGAAAGAAGAAAGAAAGAAAACACATTTATTCGACAAATACTACTTGCTTGGTTATTTCAAACTTATTATTAAATTATAACACTATGTTTTCTTTCACCGCATGTAGATGATATCTTTATTAAACTTCGAAAACAAATGTAACTCGGATAACATTCTACATGTAAAGTTTGTTACAAATAAATAAGCATTTACAGGTAACGCCAGAAGAGTATGTAAGGTGAAAAGGTTAAACTTATAAAATACGTTACTTAACTTCACGCGACTTTCATTAAAAAGCAAACAAGGTCAGTCGTTCAGTTTTGACCATGAATTGTTTTAAAGATAAACGAACGATCAGGAACATTGTTCCTTATTCTGTACTGCAGGGAAATAAGCTAATTTACTATCATCTCACTACACCAAAACTGCATCTAGAGGAATTCTTAAGACATGAAACACACATAGATGCATAGTACGAATTATAACATTTATGTTTTAGGTATTATTAGTAGATCCAAATAATTGCATAAGTGAATGCCACGAAAAAAGACGAAGACAAAAAAAACAATAAAATAAAGAATCACTATTACTATAACAGACTCATATCTAGCGATCATTCAAAATTCCCTACAATGAATGTCTCATAAAAGACAACAGCGCCATCTACCCATCTTATCTTCACTGCACTGTGGCAACCGGCGACGTTGACATTTCGCAATGCATCGGTCATCGTCCGCACTTCCTTATTAAACCCTGATTTGGCCCAACCCTCGCATTTAGAGGACCTAGATTTCAAATGGTCTCATTTGGACAAAGGAAACAGTAATGGGCTTGAGAAATATGAACTTTAGGACTTTTGAATTTAAGTAAAAATTGTTTTGATACGTTTTTGCGATATTTGCATTTCGTTCAGTGATAGTATTAGTTGAATGAAGTTGGTGAATGGAGCTGTTCTATATTGGGTAAATGCATTAATGATGCATCGCCAGGATCTTAAGATGACAAGATTTTCCGTTGCATAACCTAAATTGATTTCTGCTCTTTATTTATTTTTATACTCAGCCATACTTACGGCAAGTATTGATTTAGCAAAAATTGTATAATTAGTTTTTTTTTTTTGCTATTTAAAACTTTGCTCTATACAAGGATTTTCGCCTGTGTCGTGAGTAAGCCGAACAAGCTCGAAACAACAATTTGTGGATCACGCAAAGTATTGTTCCGTGCGAATATCAAATGCCCGGCCGCCGCCGGCCCGGCATCAACCAATCACTTAATGAGGAGGCTTGACTTCTTTTATACCAAAAATCTTTTACAAATTTCGAAGACGCTCCAAATAATCTACTGCCCAGAAGTTTTATCATTCTGACATTTGTATGGCAACGCAAGTCATAAATATATTCATCCTGTACTCACTTGGCTCTGTCATCATCTGACAGCACTTCGGTGTGATCATCAGCTGTGTTGTCTCCATCGCTGAACCCTGATGCTGAGCTCTGATGGTGCTCAGGAATCTGGAAGTTGAGAAGATCATCATTGAAATAGGGTCATCGACTCCACTATTTGCTTGATTAGAAGCTATACCAGACCGTTTGCTGGTTTATTAATATAGAGACTACAAATATCATCATCATCAGCCTAATTTCATCATACACGTAGGCCTCTCTTAATGCAAGACACAGAAATCGATGTTGAGCTCTTCTCATCCAATCACTACCAGATATCCCACGGATACCGTTAATATACTATACTGTACCTATCGTAAAATACATATATTTCTACAAATATTTTTTGAACGTTTGCATCTAAATTAACTATCACACACATTATGATTATTTTCAAATTTATCTCAAGTACCTAAATCACTTTACGTATGTCTTTAAATATTACTTAAATCAACATTCACTGTACATTTTTCTTTTGTACGATTGAAATGCGTATTTTGTGTACATGTCTTATACTGACGTCAGTACCAACATCGCCAACATTATTATCAAAATCACAATCTGCAGCATTAGGAACGGGGCCTTCCCTTTTACTTTTTCCTCAATGAAGGGAATTCCATTGCCTAGACTATCCTTTCCTCATCTATCTACCAAATTATGAGAAAATTACGCTAATGTCCAAACCTGGGTTAGAGGTATGCAGTCAAATTCCACTTTCTCCATAGCAACTCTCATTTTAAACTTAATAATTATTTACTTAAATGCTTTCTTGGTACTACGTACTAATATTAGGTACTGCACTCCACTGCATCCAGTGCAAAATGTAACTCAATTAAACCCAGTTGCATCTTAATTATAATTAATTTAACACGTTAATTAACTTAGGTGTCTGGGACACGTCTGAATTAGGGATGCCACTTCTTAAATGTCTTAAATATATTTTTATTTGTATGAGATAAATCTATGAGTAAACGGAACGGAAATCATCTGATGGAATTTCGTAATAAAAAAGGAACTACACACGGCGAAACACAACTCTGTGGTTGTTTCCCGCCGGTTTTCTGTGAGGCCGTGGTATCGCTCTGGTTAAACCGACCCACTCGTGCCGAAGCATGGCTTTCCCGCACTTAACTTTTTGTTCATTTAAAGGCCGAACAGAGATCAATGATGACTTATATGAGGTAAAAACATAGACTGTAAAAATAGATTACCGCCTATTACAATAACATAATGGTCGAAAAACTATACAGTAATGTTAGATAACAGCCCTTGTAACACTTGTAATTGAAATGAAATTATGTCGGAGTCCTACAAATAGTTTAGTCCAATGATGATAAAATTAAAATTAAGTACTTAAGCATCTTCATCCTATACTCATTTCATTAAAACCAAATTGTTTAAAATTTACTTTTTCTCCGTATCATTAGGTACTTATTTCAAAATTAGGATACATAAACCAAAACAAAAGAGTAACATCAATAGTATTATAATATTGAGTAGATATTAATCTAATACAGACGCTTAAAACTAATTGTACAATGAAAATCAATAATTATATAATATTAACTATAGTTTTGTAGAGCAAATTTTTTGTTACTCTAAAACTCTAGGGATACTTAAATTATCTAATATCCCTTCAGAAAAAAGTTGGCGTAACATCACTGAAACAAGTAGCGACATCTACTAACACAGTGATACAACTTGGTTTCAACATTCATGACAAAACACTAAACAGAATGCTCTTGTAGTTCACACGTGTCAGGCTAGATGGCGCTGCCTTCTAGTTGAGAATACTGGTCTCAAAATCATTTTAGAATAATACATTTAGGAATAGCATGTTTTGACAAAGTCTATGTCTATTCGATAATAAAATAGAATTATTCCTAGTTAGTTTAAATTTCACCTAACCTTAAAACTCAGCAGAAATCGCAGGAAAATCTCTTTGTAACAATTTTAATAGATACTAATGAAGCGTGCTGTCAATGCGTGAGGAACTAATTATGATGTTCATTTGTAATGGTTATGAGTTTCCGAAGCAATAATTATTATCATAATACAGTAAGGATACGTGGGAGGTCGGTGTGAAAATTGTTGTAGACACCTTGAAAATTAACATTTAGTGCTAACTGCTTCAGTTTACAAGCCAGAATTATATGGTATACAGTCTTTTGCTGAAACCAAATCAATTCTATATGTATAATAATATTTATTACTTTAATAAGACGCAACAGTGTCTAGTCAGAAGAACTAGGTAGGACGAGGACAAAAAAACTGTTTTTAGCTGCACTACACAGTATAAAACAAAGTCGCTTTCTCTGTCCGCCATTTGTATGCTTAAATATTTAAAACTGCGCAACGGATGTTGATGCAGTTGCTTTTTAATAGGTAGAATGATTGAAGAGGAAAGTTTATATGCATAATAACGTCCAATAAATAGTGTAGTAATTGATTAATTAAAGACAAACGACGGAAAAGTGACACATGCCAATTATGCCAATTATAGTCTGCCTAGCTATGAATTTAAAGTTAGAAAAACGTGGTATGGTTTCATATAACAATAAAGAACCTAAATACAGTGCAATTGAATGTCTCATCATATAAAAGATTACAAAAAACAATAACCTTAGAATCCAGAAAGTTGTTGATGCTGCCCGAACTGTCGCTGCTATGGCAACCGATGCTATCATCACTATTGCACAGACCACCATTATTATCACGGGAGTCACTGCTAGACTTACTGACGTCAGAGTCAGATTCAATCCACAAAGGAGACCGATATTTAAACTTATGAGCAAACGCACTGAACTTTGACTCGTTATTCATGATGATGATTATGAAAATGAGATCGTAAAATTAGTAATCATTAAAGTCCTATTTCAAACACTAAACAAAGTTCTTCTCAAAGATATGATGTTAGGTAAGGACCTCGATGAAGAACATTTAATATTAAAAACTATATCGGTAGCAAAGTTATTGCTAGAACAAGTGACAAAACTGTACTTGAAATTAATGACACTGATCAATAAGAGGATTAAACAAAATAATATACTATTCACACTAAATTAGGTAAAGAGAGAAATTATGAAATTGACTTTGAAAGTATTAATAGTCTGATTTAAAAAAGTTTATGTTGCAATAATAGTTAGGTACGTGCAGGAAAGAGTATGAGACGAATCTGTGTCTAAGATCACGGACAAATCCCGACGATTTGAATGTAGGCAACTAGAACGAGGGACTTGCAAATTGAGACATTGATGTACGTTGTCATAGTGATGATACGACGGTTGATATTTTTGAAATAACGGTACCGTGTATAGCAAAATTTAGTTTGTTTTTTTGGTATTTTTTTTGTGAACTTTCTTGAAGCTTTCGGTTACGATTGAATGTATTGGTTCAAAATAAAATCAAATGAGATTGTTAAACTAAATTGTTTCATCAGCGCAGTTACCCACATACTTTTATTGCTTCCATCAAACACAACCACCTCACCATCCTTAGTCTTATGGTCTCCTAAATCAATATAATTCCCATAAGATATACCTACAGAGGTCATATCACGATTATCTACACTTTATCACGAATTATCTAAGGCTGCTAATCTCTGATAACATTTATTCACACAAAATTGTTTGCTAAGCAATCACATGACGTCACGTGTTTCTAGATTAACCAGGTTTTGTTTATAAATGATGCGTCAGCGTACCATTAATTATAAAGACTCTTTTGAAGTTCTCATACTCTAGCAGATACTATAGTCCTAAGTAGTCGTTAACTGCTTTACCTTAACCTAGGTTCCTGTTAACGTGATCTATAATATGTCTTATTTCATAAAAATATTTTGGTAAATAAACCATATGAAATAGAAAACTCTTAAGCATGTCATTTTTGGCGATACCTTTTGAACTTATAAATATCAGATTTATGTAATTTCGGTTAAAAGAAAAACCAAAATGATAATAAACTAGATCTAGGTAAGCAGATAAGCGAAGGACATAAAAATATGTTGTATTAAAAACAAAATAATTAAAATTGTGTACCACTTAGCAACCTACAGCCAACACTAAAACAACCGTCTTTGATCAACTATCAACTATCATCAGGATACGACCTCGAACAAAATCCTTATAAACAAAAGCAAATCCAAAATGAAACTGATACCAAGCAACATGATGGGACTAAATTGATCGTCCCGACAGGACGTCGCAATTTATCAGTAGCTTCTTCGCTTTCAGTGTCACAGTAGTTTGTTGGGTATCAAGTGTTGGTAATTGTGACTCCTGTCCCCTCACTAGGTAAAGAAATGTGCGAGTCAACGTGACCTACGACAATGACGTCATTGTACTTTTAACTCTTATTGGGATAAGGTGGCAAACGAGTAGTCGTATTTCAGGTAAGTAATCGACGTCACCCATGGGCATTATTTGGCAAGTTGTTAGTGAGCTGTCGGCCCTTGGCAGATTTGAGGGTTTGATTGGACCTACAACTAATTGCAACCTGAGCGTTGTTACATGAATAACTATTTAATAAAACGATTGGTCATTATGATTAGGTATTATTAATTACTAATGACAATAGATTATATACCTATTTATATTGTAACAAGGGTTAAACTAGGTACACTAGATTGATGTAAACCAATATTATTATATAAAATTCGGTTAAGATAATATAATAATATGTGTCTCACTTTAGCACGTCTTTGTCTACAAGAATCACCATGTTAAGTCAAATAGATAATGAATAACCAGTTGCTCAGAAACAAAAATAATAATTCATATTCTCAAGTGTCTTAAAAACTTATCAACTCACATTAACAACATGCCTCTCTGTTCCTTTATCATTGCCATTTTTTGATTCAGCTTCCTTGTTTGCCTTTCTATAAACTATTGGACTATCAGCTGAAGAAGAATCATCTTTGGGCTCTGTTTTATCTTTTTCATCTTCAGGACCTACGATCCTAACCTCAGGAGTCCTGGTTCCTTCTCTAATATTACCTTGTTCACTAGTATGGGGAGTATCAACAATATCTTCGACTGTAGGACTTATACTATTGCGAATAGCTTCTTCTATTTTCTTCCTAGTTTCTGGCGGCATTTCCACATAGTCAGAAGGATATGAAGGTATATTCAAACGAAGATCTGGCTTCTTCCGCTCCCTCATTTTGTTGCTTTGTACACTTACTTACTGATAAGGCTAATCACGAGGTAATAAATTTTCCTTATATTTTTAAGCAGTAGCACTAATTTTAGACACTAATCAATTACTGCACAGTTTTCACACGAAAATTCTTTTGGTTCTCAATTGAAATGTCTTACACCATCGTTTCACGTAAAGACTTGTAAGCAAAACTGTTGTTAATCTTTCATAATGTTATCTAAGAATTTTTCTTTGCTTTATTTTATCAAATTTGCACCAATGGTAGTCGTGTAGATAAATAATACGTAATGCTGGATTGTTATTTATTGTCATATGATTGGATTAGTTATCTTTCTAGTGTTTCGTTTGCTATCGTTACCGGGTTAGTCAGAAATAAGTAGATCTGATATCAAGAGGTCAGTTCCTACTTAGGTGTATTGTAATTGTTTGTCTGACCATATTTTATATCAGTTGACCTGTTAGGTATTGTCTACATGCTGCTTCATCCAATTAGTTAGAAAACTTGCTGATTCGTCATGTTTTCTTGATTCCAGTAATTTATTTGCAAAGATACCGGAGGCCCAATCCTTCCCCTCCCCCTAAATCTCTAAATCCCTAAAAGGTCGGTAACGCACTCGTAACTCCTCCGTGTGGGTGTCCATGGGCGGCGCTGATTGCTTACCATCAGGTAATCCGTCTGCTCGTTTGCCGATCGATTACATAAAAAAAAAAGATATTTTACAACCCACAAAGCTCATTAAACGTTAAACACAAGTTGTTCATCCTCATTCATTACATTGGATAACAACAAGTGTAATAAATGAGGTACGGTATGAATCCGGTTAGAATTAGCATAATACCAGTAAGAAAAAGTTAATGATACGCTAATAAAGTAAATCAGAACGTGATATATTACTTAATCCAAATCTTGGTATTCGATAAACAGATTACGTCATATTTAATCAGATAGTGTTTTAGGAAGTGATTTTTTTAGTATACACTAAAATACCTTAGGTGGTTCTTGTCAAATTTATACTTAATTCATTGACATTTGACTACTATTTTTGGAGCACGCCTATCCTATATGAGTTTACTATATAACGAACATCATTGGAATGAGACTATCAGGACTTTAAGACACCCTTCAATCCTTCACTTCAACCCTTACTAAACTTTATGTAAAAAATAATCCTCCAATGATTATCGTCTCATATATTCCAGAATAGTCTTATCATGAGCCATTTTCATTGTATATTTCATCAAGCTCATTGCCTAGTGTCATCATAAAGCAAGACTCCGCATTATAATACATTCCCAGTTTGATTCGAAAATAAACAAAGAATATTGTCTCTATCAACACGTACCTTAATTAATCTACGTATAACATTTTACAGTAGCAAATAACCTACATATTCTTTATACGAAAATTCACCAGTACTGGTCCAGTAATTTAGGTGTAAAAGTTCAAAACCATTGCATCATAATTAAATAATGTTATAACTACATTACCAATTCTGCAACAGTCAACAGTACAATGATATTGCTACCTGAATACTAATAAACCATTATGTGTTAATGCCCTCTGTTGCATATTATTACAATTATTTGATCACTATCACATATGATTTGATGATTAAGCTTATCATGATGCTTTCATTCAACAGTTAATATAGTCAACGATGTATCTCATTTAGGCTGTATAACTTAATCACTATTAGAATCTGTGATTATAATAGTTGTTACTGTTTTTGGTACTACTGCATCATCTTTGTCTTTATTGAGTTTTCTGCTAAAATACTGTGTTTTTCCAAATTTCTCTATCCGTATGAGACACAGATATCTTGCCGACATTTGCGCTAGATGCAACTTAACCAAGAACATGGTATCTATTTAATTACACCATAACAAACACCAAAGATTAAGCTAGTATTCCTAACCGGAGCAAGGCTATGCTTAAACAATTTGGATCATCGTGTAGATTAAGCACGTGATACCATTGTTTGTACTGATAATATCTCTGCAATCGAACCAGGTTGTTTGTTGTAGATTTTATTAATTTGTGCAACTGCTATCATGGGCTTTGATATAAAATTTTTGTTTAGCTATCTAATTGAATTTTCCTTGGTATACAGATCTACTAATCCACTTCGCTCTGGTAAAGACTAAGGATTCTTTTACTACATTTGTTAGACCAAACACCGGTCCTCGTCTCCCGTGGCACACGTATAAGACCACTTACAACAGAAAGAGATTCTACATATTATATCCTAGAACAACATGACCAGGCTAGGCAGGCTGGTTGAGTGTGTCATTCAAAACATAAGTTTAGTAAGGAAAAGCAAAATGACACATTTGAAACAAAATATCATACAATTGCAAAATTTAATGTTGGTCAACATTAAGTTACTGAAATATATACAAGTTAATAGTAGCTCTAATTAAAACAATCTAGAAAAAAGACAAATGCACTAAATCTGATTACTACACTTGTTGTCGAATAGTGAAATAACAATTGATAAAATATTAGGCGCACATATAAAGTTGGTGTGCCTTCGATTAAAGTAATAACAAAAAAACGTGTCTTTAAAATATTATGCGGTACACCAACATTAGGTAGAAAAGAAATAAAATGAAACTTACATCATCCTGCGGGTTCAGGTACTGCTGTTTCAACACTTCCAGCTCCAAGTTCTGTAACGTCGGCATCGATATGGAATTCCTTCTCAAACCTATCTTTCTCTGTTCCATGGCTTCTCTCTCTTTCTGAATCAGTGCGTCAGACTCCGTTGCTCCAAAACTCGTACTTGGAGTAGCTTCTAAATCAGTAGATTCTGTTGTGGGACTAGTAGGCTTCGATGATCTAGCAGAATCAGGCTCTAAAGTTATATATAGAGTCCCTTCTGGCGTATTCACTATTATCGTATCATTATTTGGCGAAGAATGTACTTCTCCCAAATCTGAGGCATGCAGTTTTCTATCCTTTTCTGGTGTGCTTGGATCCCCATCTTCTTTTTCATCTTTTGCGCGTTTTGGACGGACAGGTTCGTCTGGTTTGACTAGATTTAGTTCAACGAAGTCATCTGCGTATGGAATGTCATCGTTTTGTTTTATTTCTGGTGAATTTAAGCCTTTTTCTATGTCTTTTGAGATCTGATCTTTGTTTTCCATTATATTATTTCATAGTAGAGTTCTGTAAATAGAAACGTTTGCATGTTGAATCATGGAATGACTAAATGCTACATTTATTTATGAGGTGGGATGAAATCATTTGCTTGTAGATACGATCAAATCGTCGGTAACATGTACAAGAGTCTTGAGAGTAATTTTTTATTTCATATCTTGTAGAAAAAAAAATCTGTGGTTTTTTGATCAAGGCAAAAACACTTGAAACTTCATATTTAAAAACAGAGTTCATTAACCATCATCATCATCATTGTATTATCTCATACATTAAAACTACATAGTAGATATTTTTAATTTGATGTTTTCTTTGGCATAATTGTATTTTTTCTAATGAGAAGATGGTGATTGAGTATTTAAGTATGAACGGTTTATTTCGATCGATGACCTTAGTTCAGGGGGTATTTTCAAATGTAAAGAAGAAAACCACTTTGTTAAATAATGAAATTACAAAAAAAAACATATTTAAAATGCACAGTACGTCGGCTGGACAACCAGGTGCCGTATTCGATTCATCGACAAACTCTTAGTGTGATCTACAAACTGTTTTTTCGTGTCTGGACGTTATGTTTATGTGAAATTGTATGTTTTTATTAAAGTCAAAATCAAAAATCCTTTATTCCAATTAGACCCTTACAGGCACTTTTGAACGTCAAACAAAATTTTGAAGATATAGTTTCAGTCTGTCGGTCAGTCCTCTTAGTGAAGCTATTTGCTTGTTTCAAAGTGTAGATTCCGATGGAGAAGTACGAGCAAGAAACTCCATGGTTACTTACTCCTAGTGTGTGACAATGTTTCAAAAATCATAATCACGAGCAAAGCTTATTTTATACTTTATAGGATGTTAATAAAAATAGCCTATGTGTTAATCCAGAGCATCTCCTATCTACACACAGAAAATCAACCAAATCAGACCATCAGTTTTTGCATGAAAGACTAACAAACATACAACCATACCTAGCACATGTCATAAACTTTGACATCTACAATATTAATAGGATCGATCCTTCTTCCAAATTTTTTTCTTGCACATTTTCTTACGTATATAAGCCGCTTATGTGACTTGGTGTCTAAGTACATAAGTGACGCAAAATGATTAGAGCCTCCTTACAAAGCGAACGAGTCACACAGTCAAACGCTATGATTTATTGCTTGTATGTGATCAGAATTTTAATATTTTGTACTGGTATCTACCAGTTATTGATATTATTTTGTTTCGATATGTTTTATCTTATACTAGCAGCCCGCCCCCGCTTCGCACGAGTCCAACTATCTCGCTATCAAAAGGGTCACTTTTTCCTAATCTTCCCCTCTACTTTTCTAATATTTTTTTCTTGTTTGATAACAACCTTCTCCTGACAATAACAAACACAACAAAAAAAGAATTAGCAAAATTGGTCCAGGCGTTGTTGAGTTATGCGCTTACCAACACATTTTGCGATCCATTTTTATATATAAGATTATTTACTGTTATTCCCCAGACGGATAAGTATCTGTATCTTTGAGTTGCATTTAGGAACGTTTGCTGCTACAATGTAGAAATATTGAGACAGTATTGGAAAAACATGGTATCTTTAGAATTGAAAATATTTAATTAATTATTTTTTTATCAAATATTGTTAAGTGTGTAGGTATTTTGTGGACTAGTAGATGTCTTACTGTAAAACGCGTTTTTTTCTGATAATAATATATTTTAAATACTGAACTAAAGTAACGATCTATAAATACACTGAACAATCACAAACAAACATAATTACTAACCTATAAAATCACCAAACTAAGTAATCACAATCACTTTACAATTTACAATATTTACACTTGAAATTTTTATAAATCGCGCGAGG